TTAAGAGAGAGAGTGAGAGAGGGAGGGGTGCAGAGATCGATCATAATGTCTACATTACATGGTATTCATTAACAATTAGATTTGCTTTTACAGAGCAAGCTGTAATGAAAAGATTAGCCCTTATTTTTCGAAATGTTCAAACAATTTCATCACGAAGTCACACGAATACGTAGTGGAATCTTAGCTGCTCCCGACAGGTGTAGCCAACTATATCAGATCAGGGAGGTGATAGAGAAGGAGTGGAATCAAGCCGCTCTCCTTTGACCCAATGCTCGAAGCCGCCGAAAAGTTATAATCTGCAACTGTTGACCAGATGGTGAGATAAAAGAGCGCATGAAATTTCAGGATTTAGAAATCCTACATCAGAAAATGGTATCTCAGCAAATGTTCGCTGTTCCTTTCAATGATTTCTCATCAATATTGAATGTGTAATGAGTTGATCTAGCGAACACAAAGTTTTGTTATTTCATACATTTGTTCAACTGCTAAAAAAATAAAATCACCCAAAATGCACGCATTAGCAAGCTTAAAGTTGTGAAGATTGTAAATCGTGGATTAAAATAACGGGACATTAAAACATGCGAAAATAATTCCTAAAATATTGAATTTTTGTCATGATCTAATTTATTTTTACCAATTCTGGCACACAAATTATAAAAAAGTCGGAGTACAAAATTTGAAAAATTGTTCGATGCACTTTTCCCCATATAAAGTTTATAATTTGCACTGAAATTTTTCCGTTAATTTTTTAAATGTGACATTGTGCCTGGCCTCCGAAATCCCCGCAGTTAAATAGCGCCTCGGAGCAAGGAACTTCAAAGCCAAGTAGAACGTTACGCATCCCATTGTTACGCTTTAGAAATCACGCATGCTTGATCAGGGGGGGGGGGGATGTTTCACAAAGGGCGTGTTCACAGAGGTGCTCCAGTGGCACGCCGTTTTGGCTCGCCGTGGCTCGCTGTTGGGCGGACCGAAACGACGTTGTACCTTCCACACCGCAGAGTCTAGCGCGCGCAAGACCACGCTATCTCTGCCGGTGTGAACAGCCTCAAAGACTAAGATCGACTTTAAGTTGGCCTTAACTATGACAGGCCATTCATGCCACTGGTTGCTCTCACCATTGGTCTCTCAATTATGATCTTGAGATAATATTTTGTCCAACAAATGAAAATTGTGTAGATTTGTGACCATGGTTTGTACGTCCCTCGAGAGACCAATGCCAGGTATGGTTAATAATAATAATAATAATATGTCTTGTTTACCCAGGGTAGCCTCATCAGTTTTTATACTGTTCTCCCTGAGGGCCCTGCAATCATATTACCCCGGTTAGAGAAACTAGTGGCATGAACATCCTGCCATAGATAAGTAACATTTCAGGACAGGACTGCGGGTTACCCCGCAGGAATGGGGAAGTCCCCTTTTGTTACCCAAACCTCGCACAGTCATGCGCACGTAAAGATGTTATGTGATTTATATTTTCAACGCAGATAATACGTTGGACCATGAAATGTCTTATATACCGTTGTGTTTTTACAAACCAACGTCATGGTGTAAACGAGTATAATAACATTTTGTGCTTTTCAATGATTAAGCAAACATGTACCATGCGTATGTCAGTGGGGCATAATTATTATTCGTAGGAAATTCACGTTGTGAGGTTGATAAGTTAACCTATAAGCCTGACTGAGATAATACCTAGATAGATACCTCATTATATTACACTCTTTCAATTACAATCAATATAAAGGAAATGCAAAAGAAAATGATTAAGCGCGCTTCGAATTCCTATTGACCAAAGGGCTCATTGACAAATTAGAACAACTAAAACACTCTCGAAAAGATTGTCTGTGTGATATACTTACGCCAAGAAGGCACACTTTAATCGACTTCTGTGACATATTCTCAGCGACAATAATATTCCGTAGACGATCGGACCAGAGACTGACAGCATTTTCTTTCAGACGCTGAAGTCAAAGTCCAATTAAATTGGGGGATTTCTAAAGCTGCTCAGAAAACGGAACAAACCTCAAATAAATATTGATCCTGCGAACTGTTTATGATCGCACTCAGTGATGGGTCGAAATATGAACATTATTTTCTAAGCAGTATAAATTACAAGGCGAAAATTACTGAAAGGTTCCAAATGTATCTTCAGATTTGTAAACCTGTTTATGTACTCAAAACCAACCTTTACTCTGCGATCAATAGAGTACCGAAGTATGACGTCATATTAGCTAAGTTGTCAAGGTAGCTGGTTCCAAACAATTTAGTGCTAAACAATGACGTGGTGATCACCAGGCACGTAGCCAGAGTTTGATGTTTGGGGGGCATATACATGTAATTGATCGACGTCCTGGGGAGGGGTCTAAAAAGTTCAACCGATCCTGGAAATTCTTTTGGGGGCATGTGCCCCCCCCCCCCCCCGAGGCTCCGTGCCTGGTGATCACACCAGCGCCAAATATTGAATTTTTCCTGCTCCAGCCTGTTGCTTGAATGATATCGCGGTGAAATTCATGCGAAGTCCCTGAGCCAATAGCCGAGACGAGGAGCGAATACGACGTTAGCACTTCGGTACTCTATCCAGCAAGATGTTGAGGATATGGCTGGTACTATGGATGGTTCTAGCCATCTGTGAATGAACGCGTACCCATCTTTTTAGTTTATTTCTGGCAGTGCTAAAAAAAATGCACGAATACACGTTGATTGTTGTTGTTGAGATTGATGGCGTTTCCCTCGTCATTGGATAGTTTTCGCCATAATCAAAATTGATGATGAGATAAGATTATTTACATTGTCGGGTAGCCTGTGCGGCTAAGGCAAGGCGCCACTCTAACCTGCAGAGAGCGAGAAGCATACATCTTTACTCCATGCTTGACTATGGGGGAACTGCCTGGGATTATGCATGCTGGCTTGCAACCTCGGGTTTCTTTTTGCATATCTATAGCTACATGTTCATTTGCATCTCAACTGTAAACAATAAATACATATTAATAATAAATAATATGGATATTTATATAGCGCCGGTATCCGCCAGGCTCTGATGCTCATGGAGCTTTACACATATTACCCTGGTTGTAGCCGAGCTGCCAAAGTAATTAGAGCTCAAGCAGATCAGGTACCCATTTACACCTGGATGGAGAGTGGAAAATGTAGATCAATGTCTTGCCAAAGGATTAGTGCCGCGGCGAGACTCGAACCACGGACCTTTAGAGCTTATGAAAGAAAGTACATATCTAGGGTTCAGTGACACAAAGACGTAACTCCATATTTTGCCAAAATGAGTATTTGATATCACAATTTTCAGATAAATGTGGGCTTTCCAAGAAACTCAAAGACTAAAATCCACCCAACACCCCATTAAAGTCAATGGCTAGTGAAACATAGACTTAACTCCTTAAGGCCCAAGTGCTCAGTGACACATTAACACTTTTTCTCAAAATGGCCAAAATGGATTTACGTCCTTGTGTCACTGACCCCTCGATATATATATATATATATATATATATATATATATATATATACATATATTTATGTGCATGTAAAGGAGCTGATATTAACATTGAATAAGGGCTTAACCAATATCAAACCGGAAAGAACAAGTCTACTGAACCACAGGATGAACAATTAGGTGGATGAAATGGGAAGGCTCAATGTGGAAGGGTCTTTCATCTTCTTGCCACTTCACATTCCCTCTCGCTTCTCTTTCGCTTCTCCTCCTCCGTCTTCTCTCTCTCTCTCTCTCTCTGTGAGTCTTTTTCATTTTTTTTTACTTTTCGAGGACCCCCCCCCCCCCCCTCGATCGTGCCTGATATCTACATCACAGTCCATCTTTGGATTCATTCTTATCAATACTAATAATAATAATAGTGGGTTCTTGTATAGCGCCCATGTCAGTCAGATTTGACCCTCCTGGCGCTCCGATTATTACCCTGGCTTTAGCACGGCTGCCATACGGCGCTCTAGCATTTCAAGGAATAAATTCCTACCAGGTACCCATTTACTTCACCTGGGTGGAGTGTGGCAATTACTGTAGATCATTGTCTTGCCAAAGGACATTAGTGCGGCGGCGGGACTCGAACCGCGGACCAATTAAGAACCGTTACCATATTGCCTTCTAAAACATGACCTAAGATGTCATCATTGGTAATATCATAAATACATTTTTATTGGATGTACACGTCTCCATTGTCAAAAATATTCGTTAACAAAGATACATCATTGATAAAGACAGGTATTTACAAAGAGTTCGGTTAAGCATGCCATCTACATTGAAATTATTAATGGATGTACACTGTTGCTCATAAAGTTGGAATATTTTATTTTACCCCAATTTATTGAATTATTTTGACAATGATTTATTCCTAATAGATCTAGATAATAGTATACATTCTCAGATTGTATTGAATAATAATTTGCCAGTGTTTGTTTTGCGTGACTGCTAAAGCATGTGTATGCTACTATCAACTAGGAGACCTACGCCCTTAAGTCATACATGACAGTAATGCGGATTAATGCCCCACAAAAGGGCACTTATATAGCACATCGACACGGTCTTGATCCTGAGGCCTCACAGTTACGAGGTCATTGCTTTGCCACTGAACCATGACTGTATACAGCGGGGGCTAGGGTAGGGGGCAGTTCCCACAAATTAAAAAAAACCCAATATATTATCAATAATTCATTGAATTTCCCCCCGGTCCCCAACAGAAGAAAAAAAATCTTCAGTGTGCCCATGCCTTGAGCCATAATGCATGGCCGTACAGAGGATAATTTTATGTTGGGGACCGTGGTAAAATGTTCAAAACATCCAATTTATTGACATTTCTAGAGCCTTGAAAATAGCGGAGGCCGGTCCATACATCTTCTCCTCAGACGTATAAATATTAAACTGGATACCAAATGTCATAACTCATAACTCACAGACTTAAAGTCACCCATTAATATTAAATGGCGTCTTGTTCTAACTTAAGTCAAAATAATTTAAACTAAATTTCAACCTCTTTCAGGGTCAACTAATTTGAATACACTGCAACTTTTATTTCAGCACCACAGTGCTGACAACTTATATTTATGATAATTATCTCATTGAATTGAAAAAAATAAGAAACAAACGCTTCCATAATCCATCTCAAAATAAGATCGAACAAAGTAAGGTTGCCTATTTCATTCTCTCTCTCCTTCTTACTTATATTTCCCGTATTCCTTCGCCATCTTATTTTTTTCTTCCTCTCCGTTTTGTTAATATTCGGTGCATTTTTTTAAATGAATAGTAAATATCGCACTGTTCAGTGGCAAGAAGTATTGACAGATAGTAATATGTTCCCGGAGCAATTGATCTGGGTATTCTTTGGCGTAAAGGATTAGGGTTAGGCTGGTTTGAAATTAAGAAATCTGTTAGTGAAGAATATTTAGCGCGGAACAATATTCATTGTCGTCTGAGCATTATTTCGTAGAACGTCAGTTTAAGAAGTCTTATATGAAAATATGGATAATACCAATGTTTTCTCGTTTTAATTCCATGTAATTCTTCAGCCATTTTGCCCTTTTCCATGTCCTCGTTTTGATTAAATACTTGAAAAAACACAGTTTCATACTTTGTTGATGATTATAAATAATTACTCAATACACTTATATTAAGACGTATTTCAGCTTTAAGAGGGGCTTCCAAAAGGAGACACGCTTTTCAATAAGCCTCTCATTTTTACATGTCACACTAGAAATAGTCTTACCTTCAATAATGTTCAAACTGTCAAATAATGTAACTACACTATTGCAATGTTTATAGTATCATTTCCATATGTTATATATTTTCTTTGTTGTTTTATTGTTTAAAAAAAAAAAATACATTCAAGCATGTGAAAAAAAGTATATTCAAATCAGCTCAAGCCATAACATCAGATTTCGTTTTTGACGCACGCACAGAACTTTTAAAGTCTGATAATAGCTGTTCGCAAAGAGAGTAGTCAAGTCAAGGGAAATTTCCATATCCTATCGTATTACCTTCAGCTAAATTAGTCATCCCTTTCCAAAGTTTGTATTTTATTTTTAAGCATGTGAAAAATTGATTTGCCCCGATTTATGTTTCATGAGAATAACATATATTAAAGCTTACATTGAGCATTCAACGAAGGCTCTCATTCAACCAGTTCTCATTTCATTCTTGAGTTACAGACAACACAAAAACACATCAAATTTACAAGGGGAATAAATAATACAGTTGTTAATATATAAATCATGCTCGGTTGGAGTAATAGCTTCGCGCATTTAAAAAGGCGATGTGCAAGGCTATACTGAAATCGCTTCATGATAATATTTCGAAAGTCTTTGTGATCATGTTTGATGATGTGATCACGTGCTCCGACATCGACATCGATGATGGTCTTTGTTTCCATCGGAATCGGAGACATCGACCGTATTCTGATGATGCCTGCATCCATTTTCTTTTATTGAGCTCTTCGTGGAATCCATTTGACCTATAAGGAGTAAAGGAGAAGAAAAAAGATTAACAAAGCAAACAAAACTCATTTAAAAAGAAGAAAATGACGAGGGGCAAATAGCATTGAGCTCTTGAGAGCCAATTTTTTTGTTATAATAGAAGTACAATTATTTTTCAAAACTAACTTAAAGGGGAAGTCCACCCTGAAATTAAGTTAGTTTTAATAGGAGTAGAAAAATGAGAGAAACAAGTCAGTGAAAGTTTGAGCAAATTCCGATTAAAAATAAGGAAGTTAGGATTTTTGAAGTTGTGATCAAACACAAATTGGCAACTCTATGACGTATCATGCGAGCTCAGCTTTCATTTGCTCAGTACTAAAAAAATCTAAAATTGTCATTTTCCCTCAAGAAAAATTTCAACCATACATGCACCCTAAATATAATAATTGCAAATATGTTTCTATACTCCCCCTGCAAGGAACAAATATATATTCCGTCATCAATAACGAAGAAAACATGATTTTATGGAATATTATGCACAAAGCAAATGAAGGAGAGCTCGTATAATAAGTCACAGAGTTGCCAATTTGTATTTGATTGATCACAACTTCAATAATTCATAACTTTCTTATTTTCATTCAGAATTTGCTCAAACATTCACTCACATGATTTTCTTATTATTCTGCCTCTATCGAAACAAACTTTTTTTTGGGGTGGACTTTCCCTTTAATGAAAATTTCGTTAGGATCTAGATTTTTAGGATCCTTAATCAATTGGAAAGTTGTCAAGAAGGTAATTTTTCCTTTTGCTCTAACGGATCAAGAAAAGGACACCCCCAACCAAAAAAAAAGAAGAATAAGGCAGTCGCTCTCAGGGACGCTACCTTGGGATTATGGACCACATCTTTATTTTATCCTTCCTCCGACTACCCTGTTTTCTGAAACTCCGCCTTTGCCTTTCTCTTCATGTAGAAAAACGACACAACAGTAGATCATACTGATTAAAATGATGTAAAATTATGTAAATTGTTGATCACCTGAGCCCCGTCATTTCAAGAGTTGTGAACAAAATATGGCAATCTCAAGCTAACTCCCCTGATTCAAATAAATTTCAACCCGTTATTATATCTCTGGGTCTACGTCTGAAAAAACATAATGATAGGCGATAAAGAAATGGCAGATGACGTTTCTCGAAATACTTACAGATATGATAGAAGATTTCTTCGACACCCTGGCCAGTCTTGGCGCTGGAATGAAAGTGAAACACCCCTTTGGTTTGGGCGTAACTCTCTGCCACTTCCCGGTCGACAACACGGTACGATTCGAGATCTACTTTGTTCCCAATCACATAAATCAAGATTTCCTCAGGACCATCCCTCCTCAGCTCTGAGATCCAGAAATTAACCTCATCGAACGATTGCTAAATATTTTTTTTTAGGAAGAAAAAAAACGACCGTGACTTTTGCTACTCACACCAATTTTTGGTTGGGCAACCCCCCCCCCCCCTTCAATACAATATTGCTTTGGTATTTTATGCAGTGTTTGCACATAACAGTCTTACCCAGAGGCGGCGGAGCGTCTTCCAAAATGAGGGGGGGGGGCAACAAAAAAGGGCGCTACACCATTTTTAGAAAATGGTCATGATTGCGATTACACTACGAAGGATGACATAAATATTTGTTTCTCGCTTTACGTGACACAAGATACTGCTTATGTAACATACTTGCAGTTGGGTGTGTTGGTCTGAATATTACATTTCGAGTGAGCAAAGCGAGCGAGCAAACAGTTTAAGATTTGCTAGGGCGCAGTGCGAAACAATTACATCTTATAAATAGGACAAAAACGAACCCTAATGAAGAAAGACTGAAAAGTGCTTAAATAAGTAACATAATTATAACAACTATAAATGCAAGCAAGCGTAGCGAGCCAGTTCTAGGGAAAATTAAAGGTAGATCTAAGTCGCTTTGAATTAGGGATGCATGTTATGTAGAAAGGAAAAGAAGGTATCTATTAGAAGGTAAAAGGACAGTTATAAGAAAAGAAAAGATGCACGTGTCGAAGTAAAAAGGGCAATTATCAGAGGTGAAAATGGGGCACTTCTTGCACCTGAAAAGGGACACTTAACAGAGATAATAAAAGGTAATTGTGAGAATGGAAATGGGGCATCTGTTGGAGGAAAAGGGCACCTATCATGTTTTAATAGGAGCATGTATCAGATGTAAAAAGAGGCATTTTGAAAAGAGGAAGGGGCTCATATAAAAAAAAAAAAAAAAAGGTAAAGGGGCACTTATCCGAAGGAAATATGGTATTTATTAAGAAGGAGAAGGGGCACGAGTCAAAGATTTTTTTTAAGGGCAAAAATATCAGAGGTGAAAAGGTGTATTTCTCGCACCTGAAAAGGGACACTAACCAGAAATGAAAAGGGGCAATTATGAGAATGGAAAAGGGTGCTTATTATAAAGGAAAAGAAGCACCTGCCAGATTTAGATAGTGGCAATTATTGGGGGTGAAAAGGGGGCATTTATGAAAAGGTAAAGGGCAACTTATTAGAAAGAAAAGGGGCACGTATCAATATAAAAGGGGCAATTATCAGAAATTGAACAGGGGCAATCATCACAGAGTAAAGGAGCACTTATCAGAAGGTGAAAGGGGTAATTATTACAAAAGGAAAAGGGGCACTTGTCAAAGGTGGTAATGGGGTACTTCTCGTTCCTGAAAAGGGGTACTTACCAGAGATGACAAAGGGCAGTTGTTGAAGGGAAAAGGGCACTGATCAGATTTCGAAAGGGGCATTTGTCAGAGGTGAAAAGGGACATTCATGAGAAAGTGAAGGTGATCTTATCAGGAAAAAAATGGGGTGGGAGTGCACTTAGGCCTAAAATAAAAACTTTTTTTTGTCGCCCTCTTTGGGTCGATATTTTTCAGATTTGAATGTTTTTTTTTTTTATCTTCTTCTTTTATTTCCTGCCCTCTTTTGGCTGATATTTCTCAGTTGTTAATGTTTTAATACATGTGTTTCAACGTCATCATTCAATTGATATCTTTTTAACCTCATAATCATCCATGGTTTGCACGAGTGAGAATTTTTGAATAATTTGATTTTATGCATTTATATTCCATTTAAACAAACAAAATACATATTTTTTGTATTCATTAATAAAAAAAATAATAAAAAAAAACGGTTTAAAAATAAAAGAGACTTTTTTAAAATGCCAACCGTAGATTTTCAGATTTTTGGGTCGGTCGCAAAGGGCAATACAACAAGTTTATATTTTAGGCCAAAAGGAAAAGGAGCACTTCTTAGAAAGGGAGGAGCAGTCCTTACAAAGGAAAAGGGGCAGTTGTCCTATGTAAAACGGGTCACTTTGGGGTACCTGGAAAATGGGGGCACTGTGATCCCTCGCCCCACCCCTCATGAGGCCGCCTCTTGTCTTACCCCTCACATCGCACAAGAATGTCGATTTTTTTTTTTTTTTAATTGGATCAAAAGAAAACGAAAAATAATAATAATAAGAAGAAGAAGAAGAAGAAGAAGAAGAAGAAGAAGAAGAAGAAGAAGAAGAAGAAGAAGAAGAAGAAGAAGAAGAAGAAGAAGAAGAAGAAGAAGAAGAAGAAGAAGAAGAAGAAGAAGAAGGAGGAGGAGGAGGAGGAGGTGATGGAGGAGAAGGAGAAGAAGATTGAAAAAAGTGAAAGGATCGAAACATTTATTTGCAACGGCGGGGCAATATTTCCCCTCCCCGGTGGGATACCCCTTAGCCTCATCGTAAGAAAAAAATCTATATTCTTTTACCTGATTTGTGATGTCATAAACGATGAGTGCGGCGGCTGCAGACCTGTACGTCAGAGGGGCTAGTGAACGAAACTTTACGAGACAAATAAACAGGGGATAATAATCATGATAATGGTAATAAAGTTAAGATAAGGTAAGTTAGGTTGAATTCATTTAAAGGTAATACAAAGTTTTGTAAAATTTCGAAAATTGGGTGGATAGTGATTCTTTACAAATTTGATATATTTGGATGCCCCTGTGTATGTATTATAAGCTTACTATTATAAGCTTATTATAATTTACCGGTGCTCCCGGTAAATTAAAAAAAATCAAATAGCGCCTACGGCTGTTCAATGGTAGCTGCATCCATGAAAATCTCAGAATATGTAGTTGTGATATATAGTTTCCAAACGGGAATAGCTAATCGGTTGATTTTAGTCATGAAACATTGCTTTATAGCTTAATTAATAATCTTGACCTTGAGAGGGAGCTATACGACATGAAGAGTTTATTATTTACAATTTCATAACTTTAGACTCGATTTCAACTGCGACAACGATCACTGAATATTGTTGGATCGCATATGCTTCCAATATGTTCATTTCAACCAAATTCATGACCCCATACCAAAACTTTGTATTACCTTTAAGTGAAGTTAAACATTAAATTCAGCTAATATGCTGATAGCCTATACTAAAACTTAGATGAGACAAAACTTGAAATATAATTATGTATTAAATTTTGATGTGTAACGAACATGACACCAAATACTCGACTTACAAGTGTTAATTTATTCCCAGTTTTCTTCTTTCCTGGTATTATCAAGCAAACATAAAATAATACGTTGATCGGTAATGGCAAATTGCCTATAGTATTTAAAGCAGGATATACAGCTGTAATAATTCATCATTATCGCTATCCGTGGATCAATAATAGTTATGCTATTTAGATATCTTATGACATTTAGGTACACATATATATACTATTTTGTCATCAAAATGGCTGCCTATTGACAACATTTTCTAATTCTTAGTCATTCCAAAGATAAATACTGTAGAAATTATTTTATATCTTTAGTGAATAATGGTCACCGAATTATGAAAGAGGGATGATTTCTTTATTATATACTATTATGGAACAGAATGTCATTTATTAGGTGGAAAAAATAATTATAAATAGTTTCAGGGGTCAATTAAACAAATTTTGTAAATGATTGTAATAAAGTATTAGATGAATGATGTTATACTAAAAATTCCAGATATCGCCAACAAACAAAATCCCTCTTCTCCTCAATAAATCTTGTAGATAAAATCATAGTTACCCTTTCTTGTCCCGCCGTATCCCATAATGCAAAACGATATTCGATGTTCTGGGAGTAGAGTGATCTTGACAAGAAGGCGGCGCTATGATGGGAGAGAGAGAGGGGGGATATAGAGAGATAGAGAGAGAGAGAGGGGGAGAGAGAGAGAGAGAGAGGGGGAGATATAGAGAGATATTGAGAGAGAGAGAGGGGGGAAGGAGGAGAGGAGAGGAGGGAGAGGGGGAGGGGGGAGAGTGAGACAAAGAGGGAGAGATCAAAGTGAGAGAGAGAGAGAGAGAGAGAGAGAGCGAGGGGGAAGTAGGTTAGATGTGATAAGTTTCATGACTAAAACTATACATGCGAGCTACCAAAAAATAGCTAATGACTCCATCGCGAATTTTAGTTTTAGTTTCAATAAGGAATATTTTCACATCCATAAAAACAAAAGCAAGAAACAGTCTACAGATGTATTAATAGATACACTGTTCTGACAGTAATGAAATGAAAACTTATTGTTTACAATAGCTTTTGCAAATGTGAATATGTAAACACCCTTATGGTATTCGTTTAAATATGTTAGACTCAGACTCAAGAGAAACAACTAGCATCTTTTTATATCCGGAATGGTACGAATCTGACTTTGCTATTCATATTTCCGTTCTAGACTTACTTCCTTCTACTTTTATATAGAGACATAACTATAATTGAAATAAAGCCAAGAAGATCTTTACTGAGAAAACAGGTTATGAATTTAAACTTATCGGCCGTTCCAGCCAGTGTTTAAAGAGTAAGGGCTCGGTATACGACCACAAAATTTCGGTTCAAAAGACATTTACATCTATTTGTTTGACCAAGGTCCTGCCGTAGGGAATCACTGTAATATGAAATATTGTTGTAACGACAATATAGTGATATTGTGGCATAAGGTTTAGGAGCGGAGGTGAGAGGAGAGAGACGGAGAAGAGATCAAGGGGGAAAAAAATAGAAAATGAGATAAGGATCCTGGGATAGGCAGAGAGAGGGAGAACGAGAGAAAGATGAGAGGGAGAGAGGGGGAGGGGGGGGGGTGATAAAGTGGTCGGGAGGGTATAGAAGCTTACCCGATAGTGCTGGTGTATTCCTCATCAAACCTCCCTTTGACGAATCGCTTGGTCATACTGGTTTTCCCTACACAGTAAGTCTATAATAAATGAAATGAAAGTAAATATATCATCATGATGATTGTGGTAAGGAAGGACAGGGCTCCAAGAAATCTTGAGAAAGGGAAATGTGGCGCGAAACGAAGGAATACTGAGGCGTCTTAAAGAGAGAGAGAGGGAGAGAGAGAGAGAGAGAGCGAGAGAGAGAGAGAGAGAGAGAGAGAGAGAGAGGAGAGGGGGTGCATGGGGGTGCATGGGGGGGGGGGGAGGGGCGACATCATAGGCCCACAGTACAGAACAAGCTGAAATGAAAATATTAGCCCTTTATATACGACGCCACTTGGTATATAAGACCACAAAATTCCGGTCAAAAAGACATTTGAACAAGGTCCTGTCGTAGGAAATTATGTTAATATGATTCATTGTTACACTAATGATAGGGAAGTCACACGAATACATTATTCCGAAGGATTATGATAATAAGGAAATGTAGTACGTGTATAGTCAGATCTATTCGACCTATAGCTATTCACATGTTCAGAACAGAATGGCCCGAATTCACAAAGCAAGGTTTGAGCTCAGACCAAGGTTTGAGCTCAAACCTCCTTTTATTCCGCCAAACCTCCTTTTGTTCTTTACAAACCAGGTTTGTAAATAACAAAAGGAGGTTTGAGCTCAAACCTTGGTCTGAGCTCAAACCTTGCTTTGTGAATTCGGGCCAATATGTACGAGGTTTTGGGTAACAAAAGGGGACTTTCCCGATTCCGGCGAAGTCACCGTATCCCTCACTTGAATGCACGCGTTATACTGTAAAATGAATCATGTTTACAATGCAATAAATACGGTTGACCATGAAATGTCTTTATATATATATATATACCAGTTGTGTTTACAAACCAACACTATGCATATGACGCCATATTAATGAGAGTAAAAACATGTTGTGCTTTGTAATCAATGATTAAGCAAAAAATTATGCGTGTGTTTGGCGTAATTGTTATACGTAGGAAATCCAGGTTGTATTTTTGTTAAGTTATTCAATACATTTCATTTTATTACACTTTTTCAATTGTAATCAATATCAAGGTCAGAAAATGCAAAAGAAATGATGGTTAAGCGCACTTCAAATTTATATTGATCAACGGGCTCATTGACAAAATACTATAATAACTCAAACACTCTTGAAAAGATTCTCTGTGTGGTATACTTACGCCAAGAAAGCACACTTTAACGTCCTTCTGTGGCATATTCTCGGCGACAATTCCGTAGGCGATCGGACCAGAAACTGCAAGCATTTTCTTACTGACACTGAAGTCAAAGTCCAGGTTTTTGGGATTTCTAAAGCTGCACGGAAAACGGAACAATTAAAACCACAAATATACATTGAGCCTACGAACTGTATATGACCGCACTCAGTGATATCAAATGCCAAATTGAACACAAACACTCCAAGAGTCGAAATATGAACAGTATTATACAAGCAGTACTAATCACAAGGCGGAAATTACTGAAAGCTTCCAAACGTGACTTCAGATTTGTACGTTCGTATATGCTTATGTATTCGAAACCATTCGTTAGTCTGCGATCAATAAATCAAGATGACGAGGATATGGGCGGCACAGCTATTAATGAAATTAAAGGCAGATATCGTGGATGGGCAAGGGTGAATTCCTCCCCCCCCCCCCACCCCCGAAATTTTCTAGCCAACTGATATATATATATATATATATATATATATATATATATATTAGATATATTTCTGGCAATGCTAGAAAATGCACGAATACACGTTTATGATTAGGTGAGATTATATTTTATATCTTATAGATACAGTTAAAACAATCATACTATCAAGACAGTCTTTTGTTTTCAAATGTAATACACTCCCTCTCATTCTCTCAGACGTCCCTATATACCTCTATGTCTGTCTTTCTCTATCAGTCTCTCTCTCTCTCTCTCTCTTTCTTTCTCTCTCTCTCTCTAGCTGTTATCCCTTCTTTTTCCTGTCTTTATTTCTCCCCATCTCTCTATTTACTATCTCTTTTTCTCAGCCTACAATATGTCTTTATATGATTACCCCTCCCCTCTATCGTATCATGTTCTTGACTCTCTTGATGTTTTGTGAGACTTATCAAGCACCGATAGATCTATAATGGTCTGGTTCTCTTTCTGATGTCTCCTTTCACTTTCACCTTAATTCTACAATCGATTGCATGATCATGCCGCGTTATATTGCATTTGAATGAAGTCAATTAAACATTTTTTTAATAATTATAAACTGAAAATATGTACGTATCTTGATGCAGACATAATTATAATATTCTGCAGAATAGGATGTAGCAATGTTTATTAATATGTCATATTATTTTATATTAATAGTATTATATTATTTTTATTAATTTTAATTAAGTATTCCATTTTCTTCATATTGTACTATGTACATGAAGAAAAATAGATTACAGAAACAAGATACAATGATGATGATGATGATAACAGCAGTGATAATAATGATGATAATAATATTGATACTACTACTACTACTACTACTACTACTACTACTACTACTACTACTACTACTACTACTAGGCCTACTACCACTCATACTACTATTACTACTTCTACTACTACTACTACTACTACTACTACTACTACTACTACTACTACTACTACTACTAATTCTACTACTAATTCTACTTCTAATTCTGCTACTACTTTTAATATTGTTATTATTATTGTGAATATAGTTTTTATCATTATTAGTAGTAGTAGTAGTAATAGTAGTATTGGTATTTTATCATAAATAAGTAGGCTAATGATAATTGATAATAATAATAACAATAATAACAATAATAATACCAATAATAATACCAATAATAATAATGTTACAAGTAGAAGTAATGATAATGATAATAATGAAAAATTATGATAATGAATACAGAGTTAAAGAGAGAGAGAGAGAGGGGGGGGGGGGGGGAGGGGGTAGTTTTATATGAGATTATTCTCTTGTTTTGTTTCGTGTTTGTGTTTTTATTATTTGTGATAATTAATTTTGTTTTCTTTTGCCTATTTGTTTACTTTTTTTATTTATTTTTCGTAAAAAGATTAAAAAAGGGTATAAACAAATTTCTCAAATAAATGGACATAGACACTATCGGCTAGGTACCAGCTTTTTGAAGAAGAATAAGGTCTGAGGTCGAGTATGGATGGATGATCAATATGCGCGCACGCATGGCTTTCCATAGTTAACAAAATTGTTTTCATGACGACGAAAATATTCATACAAAATTGAGGTTGGACCGTTCGTGCATCATTTTCAGGAAGAAATTGGTAATTATTGCATACTCTCGATAGGTTTGCTCATTTCTAAGCGAATTAATTGTGAATCCAGCAATCAATACCGATAATGAAAGTGCATATTATGTATAACTTTTCTCTTTGATATATTGTATTGTCCCATTAACTATTATTTGTGTTGGGTCGCCCTTGTAATTGACAAACGAGTTGGCAGTGGAGGGTAACCAAAGCCAACGCCATGGCCAAGGTAATAATACCTTCCACCCATCCACTCGGCATTTGCATCAAATTGAGTTGTTTAACAAATTTGTTATCCTTCTTTAAAGTTTAAGGTGTACTAAGGCTGCATTTTGATAGGTTGGCTGCTTTCTAAATAAAGTTAACTCGTCTTCCTGGCAAAATAACCAAAAAATGTTTATTCACTCTTCTTACATTATAAATTGATATATAGCTGACGTTAGTAATATTCTTTTCAAATTCAAACTTCTAGATCATCTAGTTATAGGGCTACAATTGATCTTCCTCTTGAGACAATCACTTTAAAAATAACATCTTCTTCTTCTTCTTGTTCTCCCTCCGCTTTTGTCGGAGATCAGCAACAGGATGTTGCAAGTAGATGTGTCTATAGGCAGGTCAATTCATAATTATTGAGAGGAAAGAGATGAGGTACGGTTTACATGAATCTTGTAGATAAAAATTAGTGTTGCAGTATTTAGATCATCATCCATTTCAGAAAATTATTTTCCCAATCTCATTGTTTCATTTCAAGACATCAATCTACCATATTGTACTTAACTAATAATTTTTATTTTCCTTTATTCAGGAACGCCATTAGAAGCAGTATAACAAACTGCATTGGACCCATCAATCCCTGCTCTTATCTCTCCATCAAACCTCCCATCTTGACTGCGGCTGTGCTGTGATTTCTAGAACTGCAGGGTTCCCGGTCCACAGCAGGCATGCCAGACAATAAGAACCAGTTCAAGGAAGTGCTCCCGAAACAGGGCCTGGTCTATCAGGAGGAACAACCCACCATGGTCCTTTGCAAACCGAAACTCCTCCCACTCAAGTCCGTGACGTTGGAGAAGATGGAGAAGATGCAGAAGGACGCCCAGGACAAGGTCCAGGAGCAGGAGATGGCAGAGAGGCTTCAGCAGTCTCAAGGAATCGGTGGCTTCTGAAGTCAAGGCTGTTACCTCAGTGGTTGTTTCTGAACTCATTAAGAGCTCATAATGAGCTGAGAGTGTGAAGTAGAGTTTTTAACTGCCTGATACTGCTTGTCAATCATGCAACGATCAGAGACATGGGTGTTTTGTTTTGCTCAATCCAAAAGCTTAATCATCTGTAACCGATCATCTTAAATCAAAATAACCAAATTAGATTTGATGCAGCGCTTCAGTAAAGTTGTCGCAGAATATAGTGATAAATTCAGAAATTGGTCACAAGGTCTGTCACTTAAAGATTTGAAATATTTTGTGTCAGATGTAATGCCTATAAAAGGAATTCTTCACTTTCCTGCATGAAATATATGGTTTCATGGTAGGATATTGTCTGTTGCATGCTGATAGCCAGGAGGGTATTAACTTTCGGGTACTCACTTTGATTAGATTTAACATCCTTCTCTGTCATGAAGAGATAATATTTGTATTCTGTTCAACTAGTGTACACAATTTAGACTCAAGAAAGTGAGTTGACAAGCAAGGTTTAGAATCTAGGAGGCTGACATAAGAGACTGTAGAGAGTATATGATGTTGTGTCTTGATTGTCTACTGAGAGCCAGGGCAGCGTCTCACTAAACCGTCATACGTACAAGTTCACTGACATCCCATTGAAATGCCTGTATTATGGTAAGTTTAACACGCATTTCAATGGGATGTCGGTGAACTTGTACTTATGATGGTTTCATGAAACGCTGCCCAGAAGAGTGTTCAGTCATAACCCTGGACACTCAATTAAAGCCCTTTGAGTTCTCAGCAGGTGATGTACCGTAGTACATTTATATGTGGATGTGCGTATAAAGGTCATAGTGTAATCATGTCACTCAAGATCACCTTGAGTCACAAAGACTTGTCACTTCTGTTAATCTTGTTGCTTTATTTGAAAGAGGAGAAATAATGATGGATTATATTCTATAGATTATAATCTGCTGTCAACAGCTGCTCTGTAGAAAATTAATGTTAATTTTAATAACGTGATGCCTCTGTTTGGTTAAACAATATCAATATCACCTCAAAACAAGATTGAAAAAAGAAGGGTTCTGTCCTACATTATAATATATATATATATATATATATAAACAAAATTGAACTGCCCATTTTACACAACTTATTTAAATGATTTCAAAATTTGGTTAAATCTGTCACTCAAATGTAGATATTCCATTAGGATTTTATATTATCTAGATGAGTTATGTGAAAGAAATAACATGGCCTTATATTTGTAGTACAGTATAATCATTTTCATAATCAATATAGAAACAAAAGTACCCATGGCTTGATAAAACACATTTATTCAACCTTGATAACTTGGTTGATGAATGTTGTTAAATTTGTTGAGGTGAATTGTAATTTTTTATTTTAAAAACGATTTAATGTAATGAATTTATTCAACTTTTGTTCTTATTGTGATGTGTTTTTCCTGCCTTGTGAACGATTTTGAACAGTACGTGTATTTACAAGATTTGATTATTAAGCAAGCGTGACATGTTACATGTATTCTTCCAAATATCATAAATTCAGTCTTTTGCTGGCTAGGGGTTTTAAATTTTAAGGAAGACAAAATTCATATTGTCTAAGAAGTTTTATCTTTCATTATCCATAATCATATATAATTGAGGTCCATGAAATCAAAAGATAGCATTAATTTAATGTAACAAACCATAAATACTCTTCAAGATTTAATTTTATTTGTTAACGTTCATTAGTGGCATACTGGCTTTGATGCTTTAGGGATTCTGCTTTAACATATTTTCAGTGGTTACTTTTGCTGAGTCATTTCGAAGAATAAAAATATATAGTATTAAACTGTAAGATAAGAATATGGTTGTATGTTAGATACAAGCTAGTAATGTAGCTTATTTATTTATCTGTTATTCTCTTCTGAGAGAGAATAGTGATGTGATGTACATAATGATATTAAATACTCATACAGATTACTTTTAATGTCTCAAGTGTTTATTTTTGTTTTGCAAGTGTGTCAATTCAGTGAGAAACATTCACAATACATCAATGATTATTATTAAGTAATACAAACTATATTCCCATTAAAAGTGAACTTTCTCAGTAAAGCATGTTTTTACGAGTGTATTCTAATTTCAAATCCTTCAATGATTCTTTTTAAAATATTTATTTAAATTTATATCATTTATTTATTATTTATTTATGTGCAATAATGTAATATGAGAGGGGGAGGGGTTGGAAAAAAGGCAAAGGTTAGGGATGGGGCTGTTATTTTACTGTACCAGGTGTATGACCTGATTCATTTGAATGGATAATTTTTTCTAGAATTTCTGAATTCATCAATCATTTGATAATTCATGTCAGTTCGTCATGACTTGAAATCTTTAATGGAGAGCTGATAAGGGTATTTCTAAATCTCACATTATTTGAAAACTTAAGTGCTAACCAAGTGAGGAAATGGCACTTGGGAGATTGAAGACGAGTTATTTTTTTTCCTTCAAAAATTAATTTTATTTTCGGTACTTGAAGTTTGGTGAGGATTTATATTAGGAGATCCCTTGAACTAGAATTTAGTCTGGGAATTTAGATAATTTTGTGCATTTATCTTTTTGAAATTTCCAAACCCCTCCACAAATTGTTTTGGTGCCCTCTACGTTTTGCACGAGAACGTTTCAGTACACATGTGTGCCTGTGCATTTTTGGAGTGTGGAGGTCTAGGTCAAGCGTAAGCTAACTGGAAGTTATTGTGATTTGAGCTTGTTCTTCATTAATTTATAAATGTCTGGTGGTGCATATTTGTTGCAAGATGTCTGTTAAATACGGTCGGCCGTATTCCCTTGTCAGGACATTTCGTTGTTTGTCTTGTGCTCAACGAACACTTCCAGCTGGAGCACACACTGCTTCTAGCGGAACGTCGGACTCTCCCCATGCCCTAGCTTCAGCGGCCGTTATTCACCCTGTCCGGTGTCGAACATTTTCATTCGCTGCCAATTTGGGAGCTTGCCAACAACAACGTCGACAATCATTAACTTTATCACCTTTATCTGGGATTCGTCGTAGCTTTTCAGATAAGGATGACAAGAATGTTAGAGCACTGTTCATCCCTGTTCCTGTAAAAACTTCAAATAACCCTGATGACATAAATATTGGCGAAGAACTTGGGGCAAACTTGAAGAACAAGAAAGGTAGATAATTATGAATAATGAGCAGAGTATGAATTGAATGTTTATACTTGATAGTCTTGTTTTTGTTTTTAATTGATTATAATGAGACTAATTTTCATTGATATTGGAAGTTAGAATACACAAATATTTGATTATCAACTATCATGAATGTGGTAGAAAATAATAATTTCCCATAGATCTATTTTATTTAGCAAGGATTTTTGACTGCCAAATTATTTACTCTTATATTTTTTTTTCTGGGGGATCCACAAACTACAAGCACTGCTTTTTAGTGGATCCCCCTCCCCCATTTCCTCAGAAATTAAGAATGTCTTGTAATAGTCTAATTGTATTATGTGCAAAGTGTATTTGTATAGTTTCCAGAAAAAATGAATTAGACTATGAATGGAAAAAAAATGTAATATCTTTGTTTACTTTTCTGTTGGAAATGAAATAAATATGAATATAAATATAAAATTATAAATATTATGAAACTCTTTAATTGGCAGCTAGTGACTTAACAATTGAACTAGCAATGAATATGAAGTATTTTCTAATAGAGATTACCTTATTACCAGATGACTCGAAAATGCAGAGATTTGCAGCCTTTCCAGTTTCCAGCTTTATCCTACAATTTCCATCTACCTTCTTAAACGACATGTACTTTTAATATTTAATAATGTCTTCTGTGTTTCATTGTTTGACTTGTTTGCAGATGATTTAATGAAGATTCTCATCAAGTTTTCCAAAAGGCCTGCCATTCAGAAGCTTGCAGAAGAGGAAGGATTGGATGGTAAGAAAGAAGAAATTGCAGAGACATGATAAATATTCCTCATAGTCTATAACTTTCAATTTGCAGATTCTTTTATTAATCTTTCCCATAAATATAAATGGTAAGTATGTTTTTTATCAGTCATCCTCTGTGAAATAAAATGTATTTAAATAAAACTCTATGATTTTAATATTTGAGAAATTTCCTTACAAAACTTTAATATGGGAACAGTTTGCAATGAATGTTATAGATTTTCTATTTTATGTAGGGATCTCCAAATCATGACTAATTTTGGGGGAACTTTAACCAACCTATTTCTTTGATTTTCATGCGTTTTCTTGAATAAACTGTTATCATTTTTATTTTCTCTTCAAAAACTTCATAATTCAAACAAATATCCAAGGCTCAGCATAAAGTCATAAATGCAGATTTTAGAAATTGACATTTTCATGGCAGACTGAAGTTTTATAGACTTTCAAAATGTACTTTTTGGCAAATAAGTCTGCATTTGAATGAAATCTTTAAATAAAAAAAACATATTAGCAATCCAGCATGTCTCTTGCAGCTAAAATGCACTTGTACTTTCTGAGTATTTTTTAAAAAAGTGCATTTGGAATTCTAATTTTGAAGAAAATCCACAATATCTATAGCCATTCTGTCTTTTGTCCTCACACAGATAATCTTTTTCATCAAAGCTTTACAAGCTTCAGGAAATACATCATGGAGGTAGAGTCTCTGGAGCCTGATTTGCATATAGTTCTGAGTGATATTCTAGTGGGGGCGGGTCATATAGATGACATCTTCCCGTACTTCATACGCCACGCCCGTCAGATCTTCCCCGCTCTGGACTGTATGGAAGACCTGAAGAAGATTAGTGACCTTACTGACCCAGCCCAGTGGTGAGTGTGTGTAGACATATGTCGGGAAGCAAACTACTGCAAGGTTTTCATTCTTGCTATCGCAACTACGGTATTTGGCCATAGAGGGCAGCACAAGCTATGGGTATATTTGGCAAAGGCACTTCCGGTTCCCATACAAATACAATGGGTCGAGAACTGGGAAGTCAGAGTAAGAGTAAGAGGTTAAGATGGTGCCTCCATAGATCTCTTCAAATCATCAGGGGAATTCATGAAACCTTAACAATAGTTTAGTTGAATAAGAAATTTGTTATTGCTGCTGTACATTCTCTAAAGAACCTGTAAGAAACCTTGTCTTATCGTCTTCCCCAATATTGTATCTGCCCATGTGCTGACCAGCGCAGTGTGGGAGAATAGTCGTCATCTACTGTTGAACATGGTTTTTGCTTTAGGGCAGGGTTGGGCGGTAAATACCGGTGGCGGTAATTACCGGCGGTAAATACCGTCCGGTAAATAAGATGCGCGTCCGGTAAATATGTAAAAAACGGGAAATATGATTTTAATTCTCTATTTATTAATAATTTTACCTGTTTTTAGCCTCATAACTGAAAATATTGTTCTGAAATAATTAGCAGCACAATACTCATAGTAGGAACACACAAACAGATTTATAAAATCCTCACTGCATACAAAATTGTACACACCCAAACAAATGGCATTTTGTGCATATGCTAATTAATAGGTATTCATGAATATGGTAATTAGCAACTGGGAACCAAGACCTTCATACAAGTTACTTTTATTGTAAAGTTTAAGATATTTGAATAAAATCAGGGAAAATTTGAACAAAATCGGGCAAGTAATAAGAAAGTTAAAGCTTTTTGAAATGACTAGTCACTAGAGGGCGATATTCAATTTGATGACATCATTTGTGGACAACTCTCCATGCCTTTTGTACATCAAATTTCATGTTTTTCCTTCTTTCTTGTGATTGAGATAATAGAATGCAAAATGATATTCTACTTCACATGTTATGAAATCCGATCAAGAACACAAATAAATAGGAAAAAAACGAAAGACAAATTGAATATCGCCCTCTAGTGACTAGTCATTTTAAAAAGCTTTAACTTCCTTATTCCTTGCCTGATTTTGTTTAATTTTCCACTGATTTTATTCAAATATCTTAAACTTTACAATAAAAGTAACTTAGTATGAAGGTTTTGGTTCCCTTTAAGGAAGAACATCATATCTAGATTAGGTGTATATTTGGTATCTTTTTCCTGTATTTTTTTCCAGCATTACATAATTACAGACATAGACAAACACACGAACAAACACACACACAAACACACACACATAAATATTACACACAAGAGCAACCATACTCACCACCATTGTTATTATGTTCAAAATTGGACAATCCCTATGAACAAGTGAGTGGAAAAATATATATTTCCCGGTATTTCCCGGTAAAATGTGGTAAATACCGGTAAAAAGCGGTAAATACCGCTTATTTCCCGGCGTCCGGGAAATAAGCCTCCGAAGCGGGAAATATGCCAACCCTGCTTTAGGGTCAATTGTTGTGATATTACAGCACAAGATATCAACAGCTAGAGTAAGAGTAGGTTTACAAACTCTTGATAAGACTGTTGTTTACTTTCCTTCTCTGCATGGGACTTTGTTGTATAAGGTATGGAGTCTCAAGAACAAACATACAAAATGAAGAAAGGAACTTATTACAAATTCTAACTCAAGGAAAGAATTCATCAATGTTGATCCCTGTATCATAAAGCTGAAAGACAGACACTGATGTTTCACATATTCTCTGTCCCAAAATTCACCTTCATTAATTTATAGTAGGCTATGGTTCGGGGATTGGATTTTCATTCATTCAAGTCGAACTAAAATCTATTGTAATCTCTTGCTATACTGAATTCTAAGAACTAATGATATGTTTATTAGTGCCGTATTAATTCATATTTTCATTTCTTTTTAAAAAAAACCCGTAAATAGGTATCCAGAAGCAAGAGCCATTGATAGGAAGATCATATTCCATGCAGGACCTACCAACAGTGGTAAGACATACCATGCCTTAGAGAGCTACAGCCAAGCTAAGTCTGGGGTCTACTGTGGCCCGCTCAAGCTGCTAGCCAGTGAGGTGCACAAAAAGACAAATGAAAGGGTGAGTGGATGGATTAATGACAAGCAAGGTGTTGGAGACTCAAGAGCTTTAAAGTGACTTGATAACATGCCTCAGATTCTGAAAGAAAATCCTGGATTTAGCTCATGCTGCAATCATCATTATAAACCTTTAGATCAGTCAGGAATCCCATGACTTTTCAAAGCTGATTGCCTGTCTGATTATCAAGATATTTATGATTGGAAATTGAAATTTCATGTATTGTTTTCCTAACAGTTTTTAAAACACTACAGTCTATTGAGGAAAATGAGTATGGTAAAACCGGTCACTCAAAGATTTTTACATTTTTGAGGCACTTCATGATCATTTTTAAGCGCTATTTTTATAGGGCTTCAATATTACACCATATCACAGACACTGATAACACGTAGGGCCTTGCATCTCAGATTTAACATTGTTAAACGATGCCTTTAAGTGTTCAAGATCACAACTATTTGAGTGGGTCGTAAAGGAAATAGAAAGTCACTAAAAAACATTTTCCAAGAGATTAATCAATGCTGAAGTTAATTGGCTATGTAATGGCTAATGAGGATTTTCCCTATATACAGTAGTAATTAATTCTTACCCACTATTAAATTGTTACTTGATAAAAATGTATTTGATGTCTGTTTTTTGGGCATAGAGGAGTGCCAGTTAATCAGAATTAATTTAGAGCTTTCAGTATTTTCATAGTGACAAAATGGGATTGCTTGTCACTTTGCATTTTTTTTCCTTTAAAAAAAATTCCATTCTATCCCACTCTTTCCTCCTTTCACTCCCCTTTCCACGCTCTCTTCTCTCTCTATATCACTCTCTTTCTCCCCTTCTCTTGCTCCATCCTTCCTTCATACCCCATTTCATTTCAGGGTATCATGTGTGACTTAGTGACAGGGGAGGAGAGGAAGTACGCTCATCCAGACTCAATACCCTCATCCCATGTAGCGTGTACAGTCGAGATGACAAGCGTCTCTCAACCATGTAAGTTTTGATGTCAGAATACTCTCAATATCAAAAGCCAGGGAATTCCCCTTGCCAAGGAGCTTGCTTTTCATACATATAACTTTGAAATAAGATGAAATTATTCTCTGGGCTTATGTCACATATTGTTCAAATGTATATAACTGAAATTGAAATTATTGAATTAAAAATGCCTTCATCAGATTTATACATTGAGGTATAGGGATAAGAGGTGGGTTGTAAGGCTTTGTTTCCAATCGACAAAGTCTAAGGTCGTTTGTAAGCTAATAGGCAAACTGTCCCGTAGAATGGGAAAAAGAAATAGTGCCGTATTAAATAGCTAATCCCCGAGTGCGAGCATGAAGATGTCTAAAACGAAGATCATCAAGACGCCTTGCAACCACGTGTATGTTAGCTTAAACATCTTCACAAGAAGTGAGACGGAGAAGGGATTTAGCTACAAAGGTAATGATAAGGAAGGTACGGCGAGACTTCAAACTTTGCCAGTTTAACAGTCGATTTTGGTAAGACACTTGTTGCCGTTGTTGTATTAGATTGAGACGGGTTGCGCGGCGTTGGATGTTTTCTAACCTATCTGAGAGACTGGTATGTAGGGATTCCAGGCAGGTAAACCATAATAGAGTATCTGGAGAACCTCTTGCCCTTGTCCTTGACCTTCCAGCAAAATCATCATGGCATGGCTTCAGTGTCTTCTACAGGAGCATTATCTTTCTTGCTTGTTGAAAAGCTTTTGAATAGCAATTATTGTTGATTGTTATTTGCAAATTATACTGTCTTGTTTAAATGGTCTGTAAATGGTAGACGGAAGGTTGGTGTTCATTGGCTTTTGTCCATGTTTGAAATTTCCTAATGGTCTGCTGTTAAATTATTTATTCTCCACTTTTGGTTGCTAATCAGATGTAATGCTCTAGTGTGTCAACTGCAGAGTAACCCAACAGCGTACAACCTTTAGAAGACAAGAAAAACTTTCTGTCATATGAGTGATGTGCAATGGCTCAGTGAAAGACCAGTGTTCTGGTATTAACCAGGAGGTCCCGGGTTAATAACCAATTCTGTGCTAGAGCCCTTTGGTAAGGTATTAATCCTTGTTACTAAGTCCCTCGGAGAAGACTTAAAGCCATCGGTTCCCTGGTTGCAGACTAACAAGCATGCGCATGCTTCAGCTGGTTGCCCAAAGGCCTCTGATGCAGCAGTGTCTCCAGCTGGCTAGAAGCTTGTCTTTCCCAAACCGACTTAGTTGAGCCTCAGTGGATCCTAAAGCTAGTCCGACCTTCCTGAATTTGTTTTTAAAATAATTGTTTTAAATTTCTACCTACCTGTATCTGTCTATTTAAAGTAGCTGTTAAGGTGATTGCAATTTTGCTGTTTTATAATTCTCTCAAATATTAAGATATTTCTCTTACAAAGTTGTAAATTTTATATTGTGTACCGGGGCCCTGCTTACAAGCAACCTGCTTATTAAGGGTATCCCTCCATGTTTATGTTTTTATATTATTATTTTAATACAATGTGTCAATACGATGTTATATTTGTTAATAATAATAATGATTTCAAATATTTAGGAGCGCTAAAAACAATAAGTACCATAGCGCTTACAATACAAATATATGAAAAAGAGGACAAAAATGTACTGTACAGGAAGTATATCACATAGATCATTGGGGGAAAAGGTGAGTTTTGAGGGATCTTTTGAAGGTGGCAAGACAGGTAATTTCCCTTATGGAAAGAGGGATGCTGTTCCAAGTCTTTGATGCAGCTACTGCAAAACGTGTTTTAGCTGCTGAGAGTCTAGATTTGGGAATGATAAGTTTACATGTGTCGGTTGCTGAACGAAGATTACGAGTTGGTGTTCTTTTTTAAAGATGGAAAATAAATTGAAATTAAAAAAAAGAAAAAAGAATACTCAGGCACAGCAATTCCTCAAATGAAGTGAAGTGTTTATTAATTAGTCTGTACTCTAGACACTTATTAATCAATTTGTTATCTGCTGTCATTCCCCACAGATGAGGTAGCAGTAATTGATGAGATACAGATGCTGAGAGATCCATCCAGGGGTTGGGCCTGGACAAGAGCTTTACTAGGTGAGTAGCTTCTCTCGGTCTATCGTTGTTTGGTCTACAACCAGTCTGTGTACTACCCAATGGGTGTAATCATTATCATATACAGACTACACCCAGCCCGTCTAATATCCACTTGGTCTAATAATCATTTCGTCTACTTATCATTTACATTTATTTGGTCTAATCTTTTATGAGTCTACTACGTATTTCGTCTATTACTCATTTATTCTAATTTCCAGTCGTTCAAGTTCCAGTTTGTCCAATGTCCATTTTGGTTACTATCCATATGGTCTAATAACAATTTAATCATCAAATGATTATTAGCCCTTATGGATGGTAGACATAATGGGCACTAGACAAACTGGGAATTATACTAACTGGTTATTAGACTAATTGAGCAATAGCGTAAATTAGGTAGTAGACTAACTAGAGATTAGACTATATGTAAATTAGACCAAATGACTGTTAGCCTAAATGGTCATTAGACAAAGTGATTATTAGACCAAGTGGATTGTAGACGGGTTGGTTGTATACCAAACGGCAATCCACCGCTTCTTTCTACCTGTACATCATTACAGATAATATAGACTTGTAGGTTGGGCTTGGGATCATCTTCAGATAGTGCTACTGTAATATATCAATATTGCAAGTTTATATTTCAATTAACATTAACATTATGTTACCACAGGCAATGACACGCACAGAAGCCACCTGCAGAATGACAGGTAAAGATTTTGGGAATTGATTTCATAGTTTTTAGCTATATGTGAATCGTATTTTTTGTTTCTTTACAAGGATTGATCCCCTTTTCATTTTCTGAACAGGAGTGAATGCCAAAGAGATTCATCTGTGCGGAGAGCAAGCTGCCATCGATCTTGTCAAACAACTCACTCTATCGACGGGGGATGAGCTTGAGATACGAGAATACAAGCGACTGACACCACTCCAAATCCTGGATCAACCATTAGGTATTAACCCTCTAAATGCTGAGCTTGAGATTTGCTTGATAGGACAGCTGATCTTGGGTTTGGGTATCAGAATCAAATTACCAAAGAAATTAGCCAAAAAAGTATTCAACGTTCCTTTGATGGTTTGTTTAACCACCAAATGTTAAGCGAAAAATCAGGAGAAAAAAACACAGCTCTATGAAAATACATTCACACATATGGGACCATGTGCTCTGCATATGTCAGAACTTTTTACCTTGATTTCTTTATCTCTCTTTGCTCATTACTCATCTTCTCTACATTTTCTACCAAAACCATGAAGCAGTAACATGTATCTTTTATTTTTACTCTTGAACATTCATTGGAAATGTTGTTTGTCTTTGGTGACAATGCATTTTCTGGCATTTCCAGAACTCAAGATCTCACGGATCAGTGAAGAACTTTGTGTGGATGTTTGAATATCAAGGGAAGTGTTGATTATCTTGAGCACATGATTGAAATGTTCTCAAATAACGTTCAATTATCAATTTCAATTATTTATTTATCATCTAACAATGTAAGAACACATGTAGCAGTCATAAATACATAAAGTTGCAAAATAATAGATGAAAGGATCAGTTCCCCAAAAAGCTGAAGGCTTGTAAAACAGAAGGCAACTAAACATATCATATGAACATAATAACAAAAGGGATATAAATCAAATACGTACATTAAATACCCTATACAGATGCAGTCCCCTCCCCCCCCCCCCCCCCCCCCCCTCCGCACTTCAGCAACACTAACAAAATCAGACATATTGAATGAAATAATTCTGTATTGTAATCCGGGTGTGCAGTAATTGGGTGCATGTTAATTGATGTTATATAAATTGAAGAAACAGCAGATGAAAATAATTTTTATGCCATGTATTTGTGCATGATCAATAAATTTGAACTTGAACTTGAACGTAAATATTCAAAGGTCTTGTAAATTTCTCATTACAGACAACCTTGAGAATGTGAAACCAGGTGATTGCATCGTTGCGTTCAGTAAGAATGACTTGTATTCTATAAGCAGACAGCTAGAAGCTATGGGGAAGGAATGTGCGGTCATCTATGGATCTCTACCCCCAGGTGAGTCCGTCACAGCATTGGAAGTGCACTCAAAATACAAAGGGGCTTGGGGGAAATCCCCCCCCCCAACCATACATAAAGCTTCTGAATAGACTAGTTCACAATTGGCACATGTCCCAAATGACCCTGAATATCCGCAGATCTTCAAAACATGGAGAGGTCCCACTTTGTACATTTTGAAATAATCACTCCTACAGCGATGGAGGAGCTACATAAATAGCCTTTGTTTCCCCTTTTCAAAAAAATACTTTCACTTGTGTATCATGGAGAGCTTTGCTTATGCATAAATGAATAATGATTACATAACTCTCATGAGCTCGTATCCAGTATTTTGTCTCTGTGTATTTCACAATTCTGTCTACAATTACCTTTATCTGCTCATGCTCAGAGTGCAACTCTTAACTGGCTTATTAGCCCTGTTTAATCCTCTAAATGGCCCCTGCATGGTTTGTTTTTCTTTTTGTGGACAGATATTTTTTATTTTCTTAAAAGGTTCCTTGAGAAAACATAAATTCTTCATATATTTTTATTATAATTTGAATGCACCCTAAGCCTCCTCTGATATATTCCCGTTTTTAAGACACAATCCCAACGTTTTAATAGTGCAGTGATAATATCCAGAAGAAAAATGATGATGTAATGCACATATTATTTTTCATCACAAGGTGCCAAACTGAGTCAAGCAGCAAAGTTCAATGACCCTGATGATCCTTGTAAGATCCTGGTTGCTACTGATGCTATTGGTATGGGGCTCAATCTGTGAGTAGACTCGCTGATCATACTATTGCTTTCTTTTCTGAAAGTGTTTCGTAAAGGCATATCTAGTGATAAATTCCCTGCAAAGTCAGTTTTTGAGACTGAAGTGATGCTTCATGTGTTGGGTGTTGTTAGTTATCTTGATGTTCACACACACTGGATATGGCATCAAAGCCCCACATTTTGAATACCGGTAGTAGTGTACCAGTAGTTATCTTATTTAGTCAGTTAGTGAATAACTTCTTAAGATATTCAGGTTCATGTAGCACTTTATTTATTTCATTCAAAAAATGATAATAAAAAAGAATAATATATGAGATTTGTATGGCGCCGAATCCACCTGAAATCAAATGCTCAAGGGGCACTTGAGAAACAGTAAAAAAAGCATCAACAAAAATTAATCTTCATTCAACAGAACTTTGTTTAATGGCTTTTCTTTCTTTGTTTTTTCATATGGTAGGAGTATCAAGAGAGTAATCTTTAAGAGTCTCATCAGACCATACATCAACGAGAAAGGAGAGAAAGAGATGCATAGACTTACTACTTCACAGGTAAGATAACACTACAGCATCAATTCCAAGACTTGGAATGTGACTGTTGCAGACAGATCTAAGTGGAGGCAAGCCTTAATAAAGGGTGTAGCAAGCTTTGAATCCAAGATGCACCGAGCTTGAGATGTTAAATGAGCAATAAGAAAGAATAGAGGCTCAACAGCAGCACAAACCCAAAATTTTGCTTGCCTAGCCTGTGGACATCTCCGCCAGTCAAAATTTGTCTTTTTCTAGCCTTGAGACGACAAACAGGAGACTCAAGAACCAACTGTAATAGGCACCCTCAAAGTAAAAGCGTCAACCATCACACTGCACACCAGTTTTCAAATCAATTTTGAGAGTAATGACCTCTTGATTTGTAAATTGCACCAGCCCTATTCATTGTGACATTGTTGCTTATTATTTTTTTAAATCCCAATATTTAGTCAGGTCCTATATAATCTGCCTGTAATATTTGTTCATTGTACAGTATTTGCATGCTTCTTTGGACTTAAATCATGAAGGGATGAAACTATACTCTTGTTTAATTAATTTTTTTATAAATTACCTGTAAATACTCCAAAAAAAAGGAAGGACAGTACCTAAGTATTTCTTAAGTAATGTTTGATCTTCTTGGTAATTATAGTAATGTTAATTTGATCAGTTAACTTAGTAATATTTTATTTTCTTGGTAATTTAAGTAATGTTACATCCATTAGTAATATTGATTTTTCTTGAAGTAATCTTGATTTGTTTACAGCGCTTGGAAAATTTTATGTCACAAGCGCAATATACATTTTTTGTATTATTATTATTATTATTATTATTATTATTATTATTATTATTATTGTCACAAGGATTGTGGTCGGCTCAGTGGCGATGGTTGTAATATGATAGTGTGGATTTTAATTACACAACACAACGAGATGCAACATAAATTCAAAATATTGAGCGTTGACAAATCCAAAATATATCAGCTTATAATTTCCTAAGAGGGTCAATTAAATTAAGGCTGCCATTATACTATTCGTTCAAAGGATAACGCGTTACAAACGTTGGAGTGCGTGACAAAGTCCACCGCGTCAGAAAATTGTGTGCGCGAAAATGTCCACTGCGTTAGATGACCGTGGAATCATGTAGAACGAGAACTGGGTCGAATGGCTCGATGGCTCGATGAGTTCACCATATCGCAGGGTAGAAAACAGTCTAAATCGGTCTGTTGTACTTCGTAGAGTCGATCAATGGAATGTGGTTGAACACCACCCTAAACGGCTGTAATACAATTAATAAACAATAATAAACATGGTATCCTATCATATTAGTTTGATACAAAAACACATCAACAAATGTTCTCAAAATGTAAGGACTTTCTCACAATATAAACATACAATGTTGACTTAAACATCATTAATAGAAATGCACAAAATCAGATAGCTTTAACATATCTAAAGACAGAAACTTCCTTTCCAGTATCTCATACCAGCCTTTGTAAACAATGCTAATAACATTTCAACTTATTTCTGACTTTAGAAATGTTTATAACAGAAACAGTTAATGCATTCTGTTTGCATCAGAATTCAAGATGGCTACATGCCATTTAATATATTCAAAATGGCTGACTTTCAAAATGGCTGACATTCAAAATGGCTGACTTCCAGCATGGCTGACTTTCCGTGTCTGCCGGAAAAAAGGCACTTACAAAAACAATAAATATTTCAAACATGTATTGTGTCGTTCCACATGACACAAATCCCAATTAAATTACTTAAAGATAAATATTCATATGCAACATCTAGAAACATTTCTCCAGGCATCCGTTTACACTATAGGGCATAAAACAGGGTCATAAATGTGAATAAAATGAGAGGTGAGCTTAAAGGTAAGACTTACAGTTATTCTGTAGATTGAAGACCCCGTTGCCTGCCTCCCGGAGGGATCGTGTCCGAAGGACGGTCGTCTGCTCTTTCCGCTCTCAACAGCAGAATGAGAAAGCAGCAATAAAAAAGGGGACCACACTCGTTCTGAACAGCAAGCCCAAAAATCCTCCCTTCACTGTCATATGTACTCCCTCCCCAGGGCGACACAGCAGGTCCTTCTCTACTCGCAACAAAATGGCTTCTGCCCACCACTCTCGCTAACGTATAACTCGTACACATTCACACTCTCCCAAACCCAGTCACATGAGCGCTAGTGTTAAATTTGCATATCTACATTCCTATGACGGAACAAAGGAAAAGGAATGCGTGCATCCAGACTTCGCATCTGAATAAGAATTAGAGGGTTCAGAGGGCAAATGGAAAGCTATGCAGTATGCATGAATATTCACGCAGCTAGGAAAAACATTAATCAATGCATTTTATTTTGACAATTATTATTGAGGAACTGACAAATCTGATTTCTTATTTTTTTCCTCCAGGCACTCCAGATAGCGGGTAGAGCAGGGAGGTTTCGGACTCAGTTTGAGGAGGGGGAAGCTACCACCTTCCATGGTGATGATTTACCCCTCCTCAAAGAGATTCTAGCCAATCCTGTGGAGAAGATAGAAGCTGGAGGTCTCCACCCGACAGCTGAACAGATTGAACTGTTTGCCTATCATCTGCCTGATGCAACCCTATCAAATCTCATTGTAAGTCAGTTGTTATCACTATTCAGTTTGTGCCAATTTTGCTGAATAATGGAGTGCACCATCTTCATTTTCACATATTCATGATTGACATTTCATTTTAACAAAGTACTGATAGTATTGATAATAATCCAATGCATCTTTGGTGTTACCATATTGATCATAACTACTTGATGAAAGTGATATTCACCATTTTCAAATTGTAAAGTTTATTGTGCCTCCACCACCAAAGTACCAGGGGTTATTTTTCACTGGACGTTCCCCTGGCACTAACTTACAAAAATCATGTGATTATATCAAGAAAAGAAGAAGAAGAAAAATTTGGATTTTTAAACCAGTCATTGCATCCATCATTCATAATTTCGTTATTACATATAATGTACATTTTGACAATATTTGTTATTATCTGAAACTCCAATTTATAATTTCCTGGATTTATTTTGTTTTAAACAGGAAATCTTCATCAATTTGTCCATAGTAGAGAAGAATTACTTTGTATGTAATGTGGATGACTTCAAGTTCTTAGCTGATATGATTCAACACGTTCCCCTTCATCTACGTGCCAGATACGTCTTCTGCTGTGCCCCCATCAACAGGAAACTACCTTTCATTTGTACTATGTTCCTCAAGGTACCCTTACTTTTGCCAATTAGTGCTTATTCTAAAGACTTTATATTAATTGGAACTGAAGTTTATGTTTTTTTCACTGTATACATTTGTATTTTCAAGATTGGAAATTAGTTTAGATATCAATTTGTATAATATACAATAGGCTTGCGGGTGCACCATGCGAGAGCCAATTTGTATCATTTGTAACATACCAATTTGTATAATGTTAAGTAGTAGTGATGAATACAAAAGGGTTTGAATGGACGCTTACTTTAATATTGTCTGTTTGGAGCCAGAAGGTATTAAAGCTTATCTGCCATAGTTTACAGGAGGGATTAGACTGCCCTGCAAGGTCACTGGACAGGTGGTTATCTCATCAACTCAGCTCTCAGTTAACATAAGAAAAAGAGGATCATGGGGGACCAATGGTCACCGATTAGGCATTGTTTGTTATATAGAGGGCGCAAGTAGCTACAAGTAGTGCAGTGGGCCTTTAACTCATATAATTAAACATTGAGTTAATGTCCTTCTGGCTTTGAACAGATGATTGTTTGTCAAGAAGTATAAGTATTTTGATTTTGCCTCTGGTAACGCTCTGGCAACAGAAGTTATGTAAGATAGCATGGCATGGTAGGAGAAAATTCCTTGAATGCTTGAGCGCCTTTTCATGGAAGCTCAGCTAAAGTCGGGGTAATAATGTGATTGCAGTGCCCTCGTACTGATGAGGATACTCTTATTACCCTATTATTATTTCAAACATGTCATAAACTTTGTACATATTGTGTGCATAGATACAATTGAAATATTCACCAATCTTATGAAAAGTTAATCCTCTTTATCACAAGCAAGACCAAGGAAAGGATTACTGAATAAAACCAAAATGGAAATGTATGAATTGCACCAGTAGGAAAGCTTAGTTCTGATCTTGGATTAGCCGTTTTCCTCTCTATGGGTGTGTAAATGGACATTTTTGTCTCTTGCTCACATCACTGACATGCCATGGGCAAACCGTTAGTTACTTGTTGTCTCCCTTTCAAATTATGTACTGTAATACTTGATAGGGTATTTGGAAATATATTGAAGGCTATTTATCTATCTTGGAACTCTCTCTCTTTCTCTCTCTCTCTCTCTCTCTCTCGTTTGTCCATTTTATTTCAGTTTGCCAGGCAGTATAGTAGGAATCAACCCATCACATTTGACTGGTTCTGTCGTTCTGTTGGATGGCCTCTTGCAGTCCCTAAGAACATCCGTGATCTGATGCATCTAGAAGCAGTGCATGATGTCATGGATCTCTACCTATGGCTAAGGTAAGTCTACAGACGAAACCCTGACAAAGAGGCCACCTACATGCATACTCATGTCACGTCACATGTCTGTCTGCAGTTGTCACATTCATTGTCTTTGTGTGTGTTGTAGAACCCTTTCCTGAAGAGGCAAATGTATCGTAAAACCATTTGAGACTGGCCTTTATGGACTGGTTCGATTGAATCAATGTTAATCATGCTATTTAAATCAAGCTTGCATCCTCAAATGCCTCTAAACCCATTCAGAATTACAAATAACATAGTCCTGTAGGGGGGAAAAAAAAATTGTTGTTGTTGTCTAAAGTACAATAGGTCTTTCTTGAAAAAGATTCTTCAGAGATTTTATGAAGGGTAGCTTTTCCACAATTGTCTAAAAACATTGTTTAATACATGTATGTAAAATATAGGATTAAATATTCACAAATGTTGCTAAACGATTCAATGTCCAGTTATTCTCTTAATGCTTTTCTTTTCAATGTCTCAGCTATCGATTCATGGACATGTTTCCCGACACGGCCCTGATACAGGACGTACAAGCAGAGCTGGATCATATCATTCAGATGGGGGTCATCAACATCACCAAGCTGATCAGGGCCAGTGAGACCAGGTCTAACGGAATGACAGCCATCCCGGATCCTGATATAGAACAGAAGAAGAGCCATGGAAAGATAGGAGGTGAGTGTTTCCGAGTACAGTGAAACCTGTATATAGAGACTAATCAAGGAAAACATGAAAATTGATCTGTATAAGTAGGCGGACTCCATGTACTTGTTCTTTACAGGTTTCATTGAGAAACCTAATTGAGAGGAAATTGAAAATGTGGTCTTTGTAGACAGGTGGTCTTTCTATTCAGGTAGTTGCTAAAACAGGTTTGACCGTACCATGTTTATAAATAATCAGTTAGTGATTTAAGGTGGTTCTAGGGGGTGTTTCATAAAGCTGTTCGTAAAGTTACACATGACTTTACAAACGACTTGTATATGAAAAGCCAAATGGGATGATCAATCATCATTAACTGCATCAACTAAAGATGAACTGTGCATATGTAGATTAACATTCTTATTATGATAAACATTTTTAATGCAAAGTATATTTTTTGCCATAACTTAATTGAGGTTATTGGAAATATCAGAAAAAACTTTGGGCATCCTATCTATAAGTCGTTTGTAAAGTCATGTGTAACTTTACGAACAGCTTTATGAAACACTCTGTTCTTCTAACATTCACATTAGCAGATATTATATGTTAGATGTTCCCTATAGCTTATGATCGTGAGTGAGTATTCACAAATTGAGGTAACACCATCTGGTTGCCTTAGGAAAAAAATTTGATATATTTTGTTTGTGTGGAATATTTCTACAATTGAAGCTGCATCATAAAAAAGTGTTTAGGTATGCAGGAAAGTGACCATTATTGCTGTTGGTCATCCTACACATTTCCTTTCAATCTATATTCCGGTGAGTTCAAGGGACAAAAAAGTGTGACCTTGGTACACAAGTGGTCAGTAAGGCAGGTTTAAGTGTATATTGTGCTATCGTGCAAAAGAGAATAGGGATTTAAAGAGGAAATTTGAGCTTAACATCAACCAGTCATCAGAATTACTTCATGATTTTATTTTGATTTGTTAGTTCACTCTTTTAAGCTCCACTGTACTACTTGTAGCTACTTGCTCCCTCTATATAGAAAACAATGCCTAAGTGGTGCCCGTTGGCGCCCCATGATCCTCTTTTTCTTATGTTAATTGAGAGCTGAGTTGATAAGATAACCACCCGTCAGTGACCAAGCTGGGTGGTTTAATCCCTCCTGGCCAAACTAGTGCAGACAGGCTTAACAATTATTTGAAGGCAGCTGTAACAAAGGTCTGTTTGATGGACTTCTTTGCCTGCCATACATGTAATCATTCTAGAACCATGCAGCTGGTAGAGGAAATCAATCTTAATATATATCTCTCCTTTTGTATTTATCTCAAGATGTGACTGCCTCAAAGGACAAGTCTGAAGAAGGGACAGAAGACGGCACCAACCGCAGGAAAACAAGAGACACCAAGAAGGAATATTTACCTCACCAAAGACACCAACCGTTGGAAGGAGAAGGACCATCTAGAGATGACCTATCTCAGAAGCTTGGTGGACTCTCTGGACGTTTGAGCGAGGAACTGGTCAAGCAAGGTCTACTGTCCAAAGACATGCTGGAGAAGCTTCAGGTCGAGTGGAAGGAGGCCAGTCTGAAGAGTAGGTTGGACTTTGATAGGGATGGTTTCAATGACGGGAGGAGGAGTGAAGGCACTGGAAGGACCGGTAGTAGCACAAAGAGGAAACAGACTAAACAGAAGAAATAAGGAAGACAACCATAGTGCCATTCTTGATCTGTGTTATTGGACTTTAATTATGGACAAATTATTTACCCTGTATGCACAAAATCATTGGGTTTGAAATGCACCAACTCAGCGAGTAAGGTATATGTATTTGCATGCTTGAACGACCAAATCTTGATCTCTGAAAGATTATACTGCAGTAGCTGTCCATCTGGTAACTGAGTTCTTATTATTTAGAAAATCCAACCTGTAGAATTTGTGGTACTAAGTAAGTGCTAGGAAATAACTTTAAAGGTGAGATCCAGACAGTGCCAAGTACCTCTCATTTTGACCAGAATACAGCCCAATTTTAAAATTGAACCCTCCAAAACTGAATATAAATGTAAAGGAGTACACATCATGTTTAAATAGGTACATGTAATGACCAATGGAATTTGATGAAACTCACTGAAGTAAGGGTTATAATTGTTTATTATTTTCATTTTTTAGTAGAGGCTATATCTATATTATGCACCAGCCCACCATACTTCAAAAAAAAGATTTTTATAGCGCTATTTTATACACGTGTTCAGTATTACTGATGACTACAAATTTTGATGCGGAAGGTAACTCAAATATTCACTTCTTGAGAAAAAAAATGTACCGTATTCCTTTAATTTTATGAATTATGCTGTTCAGCAAATTAATAAATCATGCAACTGATTACCTTGTATTTTTGCATGTCATTCTTGATTTGTGTTCAATTATTTTTTTTATAAATCGGAACAGTACTAGGCCAGTAATATTATTTACAGGGTCTTTGCCGATATATCTACTTTAAGGGTCTCAAAATAGTTTTTTCTCCTTCCAAATGTCCTTAAAAGGGCAATCCAATCCTTGTAATAAGTTCTTTTGTATAGAAGTGGGAAAAAAGATTTAAAATTGCGCAAATTAGAAATAAATCGGGCCAATGATAAGAAAGTTCTGAGTGTCTAAAATATGAAATCACTAAATCTATGTGAAACTCAAATTGACAATTAGGTCACGGGATTGTGACGTATTCATGGCTAATTCCTGGTTTGTCATGTACGAAAATATCATAAATTTCTGTTTTTCTCCTGAGTGACTTCTCCCTTGGGGCACGTCTCAAAATATATTGTGGGTAACGTATATATTCAAAGGTTCTCTGAAAACAAAAGACCCTCCTAAGTCATACATTTTGGAAAATTGACATTTTAATTATTTTGTGTTGAGAAAGTTGTCTGGCACTTTTCACAGTGACACTGCTGAATTAAGCCAATTGGGAGTGCCCACTTGTATAGTGACTACAACTTTAAAAAATTCATAACTTTTTCATTTATTGTTTCTGATTTTGTTCAAACTTTATCCAATCTGCTTTCTTTCAAGGTAATTTAGGTTTGATTTTCCTCTGAAAATTCTCTTTTGAATCGACTACACACAGGGATAAGTCCCTGTTGTGTTTTTAAAGAGCCTTTTGATAATTTCCTTCTTGAAGGATGCATTTTAAGCGTAACCCTCTCAATCCTTGCCATAGATATTGGATGAGGCCATGCTACAAATTTTAGAGGGGAGTTTCATAGAGATTACTGTATTACAGTGCTTATATGTGTTTGATTTTAACTGTACACACTTAATGACAAGGGCAATTTCGAAAAAGGCTTTTAAAGGGTACATTTAAATATAATTTGTGTATAACGAGAATGTATGAAATACGTTTTTTTTTAATGTACCTGGTTTTCATTAGAATAAAAGTCTGGTATTAAAAGAGTAAATGATAACAGGAAACACTTTGTGTGTTACTGAGGTAGGAAATGTGCTCATTGTGCCCCATTATGTGTGAGTGTGTACTAATGTGTTAACAAGTCTACTCATAAGTTATGTTGACTGGGAGCGTACTTAAAGCGATACTTAACTGATGAAACTTAGCCCTAGTTTACTGCTTAACAACATCTCATGGCCAACCCTGCCAACATTGCAAAACCAAATACCAAATTCCCACTTAGTAGACGGAGGACTCGATGCAAGAACCAACGGCGCAGACAGGGAAACGGCGAGTTACGGGACCATAATGCTACAGCTGACCTGAGACACACATGAGGGATTTTGCAGTTGTGCTTTTACTACAGTATGGCTTTAAAACTTTAAAAATGAGAAGTAATATCAAGCTTTTATTTGAAATATAGAAAGCGACATGGAACCCCCTGACATATATACACAGGGCGCGATCAGTAAGGTACAACCTACACTCGATAATCTGGTGCAGTGGTGTGATGAAAATAACATGTGTCGGAATGTGAAGAAATGTCACACCATGAGGGTGTACTTTGGTAAGACTGACCTACTCCCCTTAAGCGCAACACTTGCAGATCACTCTCTGAACCAGGTTAAATTAGTGAAAATACTTGGAGTCACGGTACAATCAGATTTGAAATGGGGAGAACATGTTCAAGAAATGGTGCGTAAAGCAAACAAGAGAATGTATATGTTAAGCGCCCTACTTCCGTTTCGGATTCCAGTCTGTGATTTGTTGACCATTTATACAGGTTTCATTCACCCCCTTGTCGAGTATGCTACAAACAGAACAGGATATTTTTGGTGTTTGGCACCCTTTAAGGTTACAGTAACTATAAATTGTTTAGAATGTATATTTGGTACTCTAGGATAATCCAATTGCCTGCCTTTGAAAATGCCAGGCTTTAAATAGAGTAAACCATCTTCAAACTGGCCTCAATGATCCTCTTTTACAAAGCATCATGTCAAAAGTGTCCTATTTTTGGAAGCCAAGGTGTATATTTAGCATCAGAAATATGACACATTTCCACTATGTTATAAAGGGGGTAAAGGATGAAGCAGTTGTGCTCCTTTCTTTACAGAAAAGGGAGGGAATAAAGGAATGCAAGCGAGTCAAGTTATTTCTGGTCTTATTTACAGGGTTGTATGGACACATGCTCCAGAAACGATTGCTCCTAAGTAACAGAATTTTTAACTTTATCCCTGGACCTACAGTAGCGCATTACCCAGCCTTAATCCTAACCTAAAACCTATTTGCAACCCTAAACCTAACCCTATTATCTCTTTGGCAAAAGTAAAGCCCAATTAAACGTTGCTGGAGCAAATGTCAGTTTACTATTCACAGAGATGTACGTGTAAAGTACTCCTTCACAAAATGTCAGCTTTGTAGTTATATGTAAGATAGCGTGTAATATAGCAGATATTGACCGACTTCACGCTTTCGTGAGAGTTTCATTGGTGTATATGTTACCTCTTGACATATGTCCTTTGTAAAATACAATTGGCTACCTTGAGGGTCCTCCACATCACATGTCACATCAAACCACCGATTTACCAGGGCATGTCTTGAAAGGTTCGTTCACATATGTTGCAGTTTAATGGATGCGTATTTATTTTCATGGTGTACTATGAGCGTAATATGCTTTGTATATCTATCTTGTAACACAATGACATCGAGTGCAAGCAGTGCCTTTGTTGTGTCAAGTTACTTTACATCCCCACTTTCCATTCATTTAAACTGAAGAAACAACAACCAAAGATCCCCCCCCCCCCAAAAAAAAAAAAAAATAAATAAATAAATAAAAATAATGTGGTTTCCAACGTCATATGTGAACTAATCATTCGGTATGTTTAATGATACAAGCTGATGGTCTCCTAGCTCTCTAGAAATGGTTTTGATATATTTCCTTGAACTGTATTATTTGTTAGGACAAACAATTGCATGTAAAGAAAGAGTTACGTACCATCAAGGTAATGACTCTTAATAAAAACCTTGGGGTTCTGATTTCATTCAGTTCACCTTTTAGTATAGATTAGTTTAATACATTACATGTTATACAAGTAGCTTAGTGGACCAAGTCACTCTTCACGTTGCCTTGATTAGAAACCAGATGAAACCTGTGCAAATTTTCTAGCTGTGTCCCCTTCTTTCTTTACTCACTATGGATAATAAAAATCAAGAATGCTAAACTGTTGGGAGTGTGTTACACATGTCGACTGTGGCAATCCCCCGTTTGTGCCATCTGTTAACCAAAGGCTGTAAAGAATGAAGGGGAAGTCTACCCTGATATAAAGTTAGTAAAAAATATCAAAATCCCCCCCCCCCCTTGGCAAAAAGGGGGTGTTTTAGAATTTTAAAGACACCCTTTATCTGTGTTTTATCTATGTCCCCCCCCCCCCCCCCCCCGCCCCTGGCAACAAAAAAGAAGTTTTTTTAAAGGGGAAAAGGAGTGCACACTCCCCCCCCCCCCCCCCCCCCCCCCGTAAATCCTGATTTGTCTGAAATAACAAAATGTGTTGAAGTACATGTATGCTGATTGCTCCCCATGTCAAATAATGCAGTGAAACTGAAATATGAAAAATAAAATTAACCCTTTGAAAGTCAAACCACACTCAGTAAATTGTGAAAATGTTTTGTTTTATGGTTCATACCCAATGATGGACTAAAAACTTAATTTTCCCAATAAGCACACCCAGCAAATCTACTCCATCTTTAAAGTAACAAAAACAAACACACAACAAATAGAGACACCATATCCTGGTAAGTTTTCAATGTACATCACAGCAGTTTATGCCTAATTTTCTTTATTTACTGTACCAACAAAAGTCACAGTTTGCTGTACAATGAATGCACCATACAGTGCGCTCTTCCCTCTTCTCATTACTCCAACGATTACAGTTGACTTGGGGGTAATAAATCAAGCCTACACAGAGGTCGGTAAAATCAATACCCGACTTCATTTCATTTTCCCTCTGTGTAAGGAGTAAGCAAGAGAGAACAAACATAATGTACATAATATGAATGACATTTTGGACAAATACAGTATCAAATTTGAGTCATACATCGTTTCCACCAGAGGTCGAGCCGATTTACTTTGCAATTGAAGGCTCATACCCCTCCAGAATTAGACAGATTGAAAAAAATATACACAAAAGTACAAATAAATATTTAAATTACATGCTTGAGAATGAGGGTAACGAATGGTAGGATGCAATGTCCTATGTGGATGACATTGTATCCTAACATATATTCATCAATGAAGGCAGAGGAACTGTGCCGACTTACACCGACTACCGTATCCAAATAAAAATGACTTGTACAATACCATAAGAAATATAACAAATGAAATATTCATGTAAGATTAAAACAAGTAAGCACATACACAGAGGAAGGCATAGGTGAAATACGTGAAGGAGAAGGAAACGATAATGATGAAGATTAAAAATAATGCAAAACAAAAGAAGTTTGACTATAAAATAAAGACTAAAGATATCTAGTCTGACAAATTTGTTTATAAACTAAAATCAATTTCTGATCTCACAACTATTTCACAAGAGTATTCTTCATCTGATGATAATTTCATACAAACACGTCTTCACTCACTCAAGAGTTGTGTGTATATTAAACCAATGGACATAATACAGGAAACACAGCTCAAAGAAAATAGTGATTAAATCAAAGGACACTGTGATGACATTATCCTAGTTCTCTTTCTCCTCTGGACGAGAAACATCAGCAATAAGTCGACAGTCTTACTATAGGTGCCATCTTGGAAAATGCTCACGTCCCCAGAATAAACAGATCGCAATCCCAATATTTTGAAATTCCCTAAAGTGTCTTCTTTGTTTATGTGGCAGACTTTCAGGTAACCAAGAAGTTATGCATAAAATGTCTTCTTTATTTGGCAAATGCAGGAGCAATTTGTCAAGTAAACAAAAGAAGACAACGATTCGCGTAAGCTCGTGGTCTTCACGTTGTTCCGTTGCAAATCAACCGTCGAGTAAGAACTGTGGCTATTCTGCAGAGGATGGCATAGATTGGCGTACAGAATATAAGAATGCAGATGCTTGCTTGGTCCCATCTACTCTTCACACCTCGGTTAAACCACAAAACAAACTCCAGACAGACTGTGTCTTGTCTATTTATTGTAATGTAAATTCCTGTTCCATGTGTTGTCAGTCTTGCGTTGATCTCGCTAATGTGGCTGTGGTATTATTCAGCCATATCTCTCGCAACTGAAGTTTGGTATTTTATGAAACCTGTGATCAAGATGTTTCTTACGAAACTTAAGAATCAGCAAGAGCAGAAGAGAAGATAAGAACTACCGAGGATAAATGAGGGTGTCGAGGAGAGAATAGCTGGGCACGAGTTATGACGTGTCAAGCTCATCATGTCGCGTTTCAACATGGCGTGTCTTGGCTACATTCCTGAAATGATCAGTTCATCCCATAGTGATTAATACATCATCAGTGAAACTGCCCAAACGAATCATTTCATGCTAACTCACTTACAGGTACTCAAACTCGTACAAAGCCTTTAGTTCAGGTTGGATAACAGATGCAAAAGTAAACATTAAATTCAGACATGTACATTCATTATATTAAAAAGCTTAGATGAATATGTATTGCATGTCAGTGCATACATTTTGCATGTGTATTTTCTTTATTTTGTCCACATATAATCTACAATTACAGTATGTACAATTTTGATATCACAAAAGAACACAGTGACATGCAATACATTAAACAGAGGGGAAATATTTTTAAAAAGAAAAAATTATAATATCACTTAATTCTCATGTTTTGCCAGGATAGTTTACATGAATCCACTGCTATTTACAATACACAACTGTGTCTTACCATACAAATCCTGACAACATGAGAAATTCTACATATGATCTCACAAATGGGCAAAATCCTTCATGTGATTCTATTTCTGGACAAAGCCAAATTTGGTCACCAAAGAAAAGGATTTTTTTTCTTCAATTTACAAATAAGATTAGATTTATACAAACGTGCTATAGATAGAATGAACCTGACGATTCTGTGTGAAATAACAAAGATTTGTAAAAACCCTTCAAAACGTGAAAATATGTCAAAGTTTTGGGATGACTACAAAAAGGTCCCTGCTTTGATATGAAAATGAAACAATATAGCAGAGACCATTTTGTAGTCATTCACAGGAGTTTGCAAACACTGTTTATATGAAACTAATTCAGTGTCAGGTACATCAAAGTATAATCATAAACATCACAATTATAGTGTCATAAAATAACTGATTAAACAAATTACATTTCGACTGCTATACAATTTGAAACGTCAAGATCGGACAAGATATGTATGATTAATTGACAGGTAACACCAAGGATGCAAAGAATAACTCCAGAAAATGTGACTGCATACAACAAAACTGTAACTTGCTGTTTATTTCATGTAATGATAATAATGATAGTAATGTCCCCTACATTGTTTTTACCCACATAAATATAATTCACAATGTTCTGTAATATATCATGCATTAATTCATATAGCAGAGTGTTTGAGCAACCCATCTCCTTCTTACATCACCAGTCCTCGTCTTCATCCTGATTTGAAACGCATTGTACAAAGTCCATTTCTCTTAGTCCAAACCGCATCATTGGTTTGTTCAGTAGGTGATTCGAAGCATTGTGCATTGGTTAACGGCATGTCATTGTTTTCTGTAAAGCTTTACGGTTGCTGTTCATTAGGAACACAGCTTGTTCATGCTTCGATACGAACTGCGATTAACGTCCTATTACTGTATGACGAAAAGACATGACCAATACTGCCGGGCAGGGGATGCGCTCGTGTTATAGTTAGCCAGAGTTGCAAGGTTGATTGATGTATTGCTCCTCAGCGCTTGCTTTTACTCCTGCTCTCCGAATGCTTGGCCGTGCCGGGTTGACGCCGTTGGAGACGCTGGTCTGTGCAGATTGCTGGGTGACCTTCTGCTTGAGTAGCGTCCAGTCGAAGGTGAAATCGTACTGGTGATTGAGGGTGCGGAACAGGATGCGGAAGAGTTGCCTTAGGTACACATAGTCAGGGTTCTCATCGAAGCGCAGGCCACGGGCGTAGTTGAGGTACATGGCAAACTCTGCTGGGAATCCCTGCAGGAGATGATGATAAACAAAAAACAAACAAAAATCATATCAAAGTTAGCTCAGCTAAATTCTGATAATAATTGTATTTATTGAGTACATCTACTTTGTGTCCTACGGAAAGACACTTCATACATGTTCATCCAACCAAAGCTCTGCACTAACTTTTTCATAGGGAGGTCCAGACTAAAATTTCAGGGTTTGTGGGCACATGACCTACATATACATGTGCAAATGTTGAAACTGTTGAGATCCAGACTTATTATTTTGGGTGCCCATATGTCGAGCCCTGTTGTTATCATTCTTAAGTTAGAGTTGTACCCTCTCCACTCCCAAAAATGATTCAAATTACTCCACAGTGAAATTTTGTTTATGGTTGTGCAGCCTATATTATTGTTTTTGCTTATGTTCTACTCTGTTTTTTTTTTGTTTTTTTTGTTTGTTATTGTTTATTCATCTATCATTTTGTATGATTCTTTCACTAATGTTACTGTTTACGGTGGCTGTCCAGACAAATCCACTAGGGTTTTTATACAGCAACCAAATTCTTCTTCTTTTTTTTATCGTCAATATTTTACTATATTTAATAATAATTATGTAAAAGTACCGGTAATATTTCTTTTATATTTACTGTATGTCGATGTTACTGTTTTTATTATGGAAAATTTAATAAATGCTGAATTGAAGAAAGTTGAACACTTGGATGTCCTCAAACATTTTCTTACCTTGCAGAGGACTTCAACTGGTGTTGACATCTTCTTCTCGCTGATCTTCTCATACTTCTGCTTCTTGGTCATGGCCTTCATGCCTTGCCATGGCAGACTCGTTCTGTTGAAGTACATCAACACATACCCTAGTGATTCCAAGTCATCTCTCCGACTGAAAAGAACAAGCAAAGGAAAGCGGTTATACATTGAGTTACACCTTCAGTGAATTTTTTTGCTTACTTGTCAATGACTGAAAGACTACAAAAATGATGGTAACAAATCCATAATACACTGAGTATTGCAACAACAACAGAATGAATATATATCAAGGGATCCGGGCTAACTCAGACCCGGGGACAACTCGGCCCGCTGCAAAAACCATCATTTTTTGTCATTTGATCCTAACCCTTACCATAACTCTAACCCTTAACCTGCAAAAAATGACTGTTTTTTCAGCGGGCCGATTTGTCCCTGGGTCCGAGTTAGCCCGACTCCATATCAAGGAATACTTGCATTTACTCCTTAGTGTAGTTTGATTTAGCCTACCTGTATAACTTAAAATGAATATCATGTTCAATAATACAGCGTACACTTTAATGGGACACAAAGTTATATATTTCAAAATATCCAAACAAAACAAGTCTTTTCTGTCTACAAAAAGAAGTTCATATTGTTGTTACCGGTTGGGTAAAAAGAGATTATAAACCATATTTACATGTAAGGAGTCATTTCAGGAAAGTACTCTTACTCAAAATTCATGAACCGGCACATGCACATCATACTCATTCATACTTCTACATGTACTACCACTGGCTTTGTGTGAAGGAAATAATTTCAATTTCGCTGTGTTTATATAAGATAATTAAATGTAGCAAAACACATTGAATACCAATTTAATTGTCCATATACATTGTTTGTAGGTATTTATGGCGTTATGTATGAATGGAGATATATGTAGGAAGTTAGGAACAAAGAGCTATTGATCAACACCACCACTACCACCACCACCACCACACCATGGTATAAAAGACAAGTCATTCATGTTCTGAATCACTGTACACATCCTTTATGATGAGTTAACATGGCCTTGATCATTATTATATATAGCATAAATGCGTGTCTGGACTTGAGTCCAGCTGTTTTCTGTAATGACCTATGCAACAACTGACAATGACCAACTGACTATGGGAGTGGCATTTGTATTAGTACTCTGAGATAGTAGAGATTAAACAATCAGCAAGTACAGTACCAGGGAATGTTGATAAACACTGGTGCATACAGTATGCAGTCATGCAAGATGATGCAGCACTACATTAAATTCTCCAAGACCAAGTAGTACATGTGTACTTTACGGGTCGAATCTTATCAATATCAATAAACAGTGTATAGATACGAGGGGGTGTTCCACAAAGACCAAGATCGACTTTAAGTTATACCGGTACTTAACTATGGCAGGCCCTTCATGCCACTGTTTGCTCTCACCATGCATTTACTGGCATTGGGCTCCCAAGGGACTTAGAAACTATGGTTACAAATCTACATTTTTTGAGAAATCATTATATGAAATAATATTATCTTAAAGGTAAAGACCAGTTATGGTCGTGCGATTGCATTGTGAAAGAAACGTTGTGGAATCGATCAAAAAAGGTTGATCATCTAGCATCTAGCATCTGCAAGGTTCTGGAATAATCAAAATGATAAGAAATTTGGCCCATTCTTCGTAAAGTTACAAGCACTATACACAGAAAGATGTATATGGGACTACCCTATATCTCTCACAGACCATGAGAGAAACAAATTTACCAAATATATGAATTAGTAGGCGGTTTCCCGGCAAATTTTTTATCATCATGTATTAGTCAAAACATATTCTTTCACATGATTGGTAATGAGAGCTTCCATTTCATTTTTTGAAATTGGGGCGTTTCCAATACTGGTCTTTACCTTTAACATAATGGTGAGAGCAAACAGTGGCATGAACGGCCTGCCGTAGTTAAGTCCCACCTGAAGTTGATCTTAGTCTTTGTGAAACGCTCCCCAGGTATGCCTAAGAGGCTAAGAGCATGCCTACATGTAATACTACTAAATAGTGTACATGTATCTGTAATCCTACAGCTAGCACTGTATGTATGGTCAACATACTGCTGTACAAGTCTCCCTAAAAGGATCAACACTACACCCAAACCATCAAAAGTTAGTGCATAATGATAGCCTGCGTGGTTACCAAGTACTGTCACATCTTGCTCTAGATTTTCTTATAAATGCATTACATGTGCAGTGTATGGTCAGAAAGAGCTAGAGGATCTAATAAATAAAACAAACACGAGGCCGTTTTAATTTTGATATCGTCATGTTGAACATACATGTATGCATGTAGCAAAGTTCCTTTGTGTGGATACCAATACCAAGTTAAATTAAAAATTTCTTTTATCAACCTAGTGACACGCCCACAAATACTCAATGGCATACATACATGTATACCACGGACCTACTACATGCATTTGTAGTAGGTCCATGGTACATGTAGCTAAAGCAGGAGACCTATTAAAGGTAAAGACCAGTATTGGAAACGCCCAAATTTCAAAAAATGAAATGGAAGCTCTCATTACCAATCATGTGAAAGAATATGTTTTGACTAATACATGATGATAAAAAATTTGCCGGGAAACCGCCTACTAATTGATATATTTGGTAAATTTGTTTCTATCATGGTCTTTGAGAGATATAAGGTAGTCCCATATACATCTTTCTGTGTATAGTGCTTGTAACTTTACAAAGAATGGGCCAAATTTCTTATCATTTTGATGATTCCAGAACCTTACAGATGCTAGATGCTAGACGATCAACCTTTTATGATCGATTCCACAACGTTTCTTTCACAATGCAATCGCATGACCATAACTGGTCTTTACCTTTAAGACTTATCAGTAGCCTTTTACATGTACAGTCAGCAATTATGTACTTTGTATCTCTAGGCCTACATGTAAACACTATGGTAGGCCTTACAATGTTAATTTACCGAGCCAACTTTTTAATCAGGAACATTACACCTACATGCACATGTACTTAATTCTATAGAGAAAGATAATTTCAAGAACACTGTGCAATTCTAAAGATTTAGTACTGTAGGTATTAAACACAAACATACTGTATTAAGGACCATGTCATCATTGGAAGTAGATTTTTTTTTTAAATCTTTATCATATGTTCACTTTACCTTTACAATTAAAAGCACAAAGAAAATCCATACACGTATGTACAGATGTACATCTAGGTTTAAATGCAACAACAGTTTTAGTATTAGTACAAATGTGTGTATTTCTTTGAGGGTTTCCATTTTTAATTACCCGGTAGATGGATACGTCGATATTGCATATTTCTTGAGCAAGAACCATGTACATTTCCCTATGCCACATGTACATGTACATATGTATGCACCTCTTCAGCTGAGCACTGTGTTTCTTGTACATAATTGAGAAGCCTACATGTATACTTAGGGTGTATACACAATTTGCACCAAGTGCTATTACAATACCCTGTGCGGTGTCACGATACATTAGTGATAGATTTTCAGTTGCTTTGTTGTCAGCGTGAGTGGGTATGATCTAGCGTGACTCAGCGAGGGCTGATGTAGCTCAAGAGAGGTGATTAAACAGGGTTATATCTTTCTTTCTCTCTATCTCTCTTTATTCCTCTATTTGGCTCACTCTTGTTCTTACCCCCTGCCCCGCCCTCCCTCCTTCTCTATCTCTAAACGTACCTCCCACTTTCTCTCTCTCTCTCCTTCTCCCTCTTCTTTTTTCTCTTCTCTCTCTCTCTCTCTATCCCCTTTTTCTCAGTGTCTGTCTTTTGTCTAAATCTACTTCTACCTCTCCTTTAACTCCTTCTTTCTCTCTCTTTCTTTCTGCCTCGCTCTGATCTCTCTCTCTCTCTCTCTCTCTCTCTGTTTGTCTCATGACTGTTCAGCTAAGAATAGCCAACATGATGGACATGATGATGACAGACAGGGAACATGTACAATATTGGCCAAACATTTAAAGGAGAAGGTTGAGTTCTGGTAAAGAAACATATATAAAGTTGTGACTGTGAGCTTGCTCATTCTTTGTATTCAGTTTGAAAGAATATCGTAGTTATAAATGTCTCCTGAAAAGGACTGCTCTTCAAATGCCTTCATATTTCAAATACTTTATTGTCTCATAAACCTATTCCCATGTGTTAAGCAAAATCTCACAATTCTGTGTAGAAGTTTAGTGTTCCAAATTTAGCTCTACCAGATAAGGCAAACCAAATCAAAATCGGTCTAGAAATGAGGGGAAAAGAAGCAATTTTTGTTATTTTTGGAATAAATTTGCATAAATTACCATAATTAATTAATGGAGAACAATTTCGAAATTCTGTGTACAAGTTTAGTGTACCAAAGTTAGCTTTACGATATAAAGCAAACCAAATCAAAATCGGTCGAGAATTGTAGGGGAAGAAGCCTTTTTTGTGATTTCGAATATATTTGCATAAATTAGCATAGATACTGAATTTCACGATTCTGTGTAGAAATTTTAAATCCCCCTCCTAGCCCTATCATATGAAACAATCAGAATCAAAATCGGTTGAAAAAGAACGAAGAAGAAGCATTTTGAAAATCTTGATGTTGATGCCACAACAAAGTCTAAGTTTGTTGACCTTAACTTAGTGACCTGAAATTCTACTCACATGAATGGAGAGACTTGATAACCCTATAGTCCAATTTTTATTGACTAAGAACTTATACTTTCAAAATTATATCAAAAATTCAAAAATTAACCTTACGTTAGTTTTCGATGATGATACTACAACATAGTCCAAGTTTGTTGACCTTAAATGACCTTTGACCTTAACTTAGTGATCTGAAATTCTACTCACATGATTGGGGATACTTGATTACCCTATAGTCAAAGTTTCATTGACTAAGAACTTATACTTTAAAAATTATATCAAAAATTCAAAAACTTAACCTTAGGTTAAGTTTTTGATGTTGACGCCACCGTCGCCGTCGCCGTCACCGGAAAAGCGGCGCTTATGTCTCGCTTTTTGCTATGCAGGCGAGACAAAAATCAACTTTTTCCAATTGCTACCAAACAGTTTCTTTTACAATGTAATCCCATAGGAACTTACATGTACTGTAATTAACTTATAAGA